ATATCACTTTATCAAACGCTGAACATCTACTGCATGCCGTGATGAGTCCATGTAGAAAACGGAGCTGAAAGAGGCGTACTACGAGTAGTGATACGCGGACGAGGTGGTAAAATAGTGCGGCATGGCTGTTATGATGTGCTGTGTGACGTAGGATGCATGGCTGTGCGTATCGAAGCTTGTTTAGGCTGTTGTGTGAGTTTGTTGAGGTAGCAGACTGATGACCGAGTGTAGCTCAGTTGGTAGAGCGATTGACTGTAGTGTTGAATACTGTGTGTCAGTATTCTCGGAAATCAATTGGTCGCTGGTTCGATTCCGGCCACTCGGATTTTGGCTTGAAGCCTTTACTTGGGTCTCGCGTCCGTCTCTTTCTGCCTCTGCAGGCCTTGTTTTCTATTGTGTGGGCAAGAAGCTATGTTGTTGTCAGTGGCGCAGGGTTCCGGCCGTGAAGAGCGTATACTCTTTCCGTGGTGTCGCGCAAGACCATCGTCAGACTTGGCATTTGTCTTGGCGGGTTCCGTGTAAGTCCTTTTCGCACGCCTATTTCCGCCCCATCGAAGGGTGAGTACGGGCAGTCTGTCCTCGATGGAACAAAGCCTACTGCTGCCAAATATACAGAACAAGGAAACTGCGATCGCATCGGACTTCATCAATACCACAAGTCGATTGCATTTCCTGCTCTCGACGTGTTCAGACGAACAAGCCAGCCCGAGAGCTTGGTGTCGCACTTGATAGTGGGATTTGCACTTTGATATCACTTTATCAAACGCTGAACATCTACTGCATGCCGTGATGAGTCCATGTAGAAAACGGAGCTGAAAGAGGCGTACTACGAGTAGTGATACGCGGACGAGGTGGTAAAATAGTGCGGCATGGCTGTTATGATGTGCTGTGTGACGTAGGATGCATGGCTGTGCGTATCGAAGCTTGTTTAGGCTGTTGTGTGAGTTTGTTGAGGTAGCAGACTGATGACCGAGTGTAGCTCAGTTGGTAGAGCGATTGACTGTAGTGTTGAATACTGTGTGTCAGTATTCTCGGAAATCAATTGGTCGCTGGTTCGATTCCGGCCACTCGGATTTTGGCTTGAAGCCTTTACTTGGGTCTCGCGTCCGTCTCTTTCTGCCTCTGCAGGCCTTGTTTTCTATTGTGTGGGCAAGAAGCTATGTTGTTGTCAGTGGCGCAGGGTTCCGGCCGTGAAGAGCGTATACTCTTTCCGTGGTGTCGCGCAAGACCATCGTCAGACTTGGCATTTGTCTTGGCGGGTTCCGTGTAAGTCCTTTTCGCACGCCTATTTCCGCCCCATCGAAGGGTGAGTACGGGCAGTCTGTCCTCGATGGAACAAAGCCTACTGCTGCCAAATATACAGAACAAGGAAACTGCGATCGCATCGGACTTCATCAATACCACAAGTCGATTGCATTTCCTGCTCTCGACGTGTTCAGACGAACAAGCCAGCCCGAGAGCTTGGTGTCGCACTTGATAGTGGGATTTGCACTTTGATATCACTTTATCAAACGCTGAACATCTACTGCATGCCGTGATGAGTCCATGTAGAAAACGGAGCTGAAAGAGGCGTACTACGAGTAGTGATACGCGGACGAGGTGGTAAAATAGTGCGGCATGGCTGTTATGATGTGCTGTGTGACGTAGGATGCATGGCTGTGCGTATCGAAGCTTGTTTAGGCTGTTGTGTGAGTTTGTTGAGGTAGCAGCCTGATGACCGAGTGTAGCTCAGTTGGTAGAGCGATTGACTGTAGTGTTGAATACTGTGTGTCAGTATTCTCGGAAATCAATTGGTCGCTGGTTCGATTCCGGCCACTCGGATTTTGGCTTGAAGCCTTTACTTGGGTCTCGCGTCCGTCTCTTTCTGCCTCTGCAGGCCTTGTTTTCTATTGTGTGGGCAAGAAGCTATGTTGTTGTCAGTGGCGCAGGGTTCCGGCCGTGAAGAGCGTATACTCTTTCCGTGGTGTCGCGCAAGACCATCGTCAGACTTGGCATTTGTCTTGGCGGGTTCCGTGTAAGTCCTTTTCGCACGCCTATTTCCGCCCCATCGAAGGGTGAGTACGGGCAGTCTGTCCTCGATGGAACAAAGCCTACTGCTGCCAAATATACAGAACAAGGAAACTGCGATCGCATCGGACTTCATCAATACCACAAGTCGATTGCATTTCCTGCTCTCGACGTGTTCAGACGAACAAGCCAGCCCGAGAGCTTGGTGTCGCACTTGATAGTGGGATCAACACTTTGATATCACTTTATCAAACGCTGAACATCTACTGCATGCCGTGATGAGTCCATGTAGAAAACGGAGCTGAAAGAGGCGTACTACGAGTAGTGATACGCGGACGAGGTGGTAAAATAGTGCGGCATGGCTGTTATGATGTGCTGTGTGACGTAGGATGCATGGCTGTGCGTATCGAAGCTTGTTTAGGCTGTTGTGTGAGTTTGTTGAGGTAGCAGCCTGATGACCGAGTGTAGCTCAGTTGGTAGAGCGATTGACTGTAGTGTTGAATACTGTGTGTCAGTATTCTCGGAAATCAATTGGTCGCTGGTTCGATTCCGGCCACTCGGATTTTGGCTTGAAGCCTTTACTTGGGTCTCGCGTCCGTCTCTTTCTGCCTCTGCAGGCCTTGTTTTCTATTGTGTGGGCAAGAAGCTATGTTGTTGTCAGTGTCGCAGGGTTCCGGCCGTGAAGAGCGTATACTCTTTCCGTGGTGTCGCGCAAGACCATCGTCAGACTTGGCATTTGTCTTGGCGGGTTCCGTGTAAGTCCTTTTCGCACGCCTATTTCCGCCCCATCGAAGGGTGAGTACGGGCAGTCTGTCCTCGATGGAACAAAGCCTACTGCTGCCAAATATACAGAACAAGGAAACTGCGATCGCATCGGACTTCATCAATACCACAAGTCGATTGCATTTCCTGCTCTCGACGTGTTCAGACGAACAAGCCAGCCCGAGAGCTTGGTGTCGCACTTGATAGTGGGATCAACACTTTGATATCACTTTATCAAACGCTGAACATCTACTGCATGCCGTGATGAGTCCATGTAGAAAACGGAGCTGCAAGAGGCGTACTACGAGTAGTGATACGCGGACGAGGTGGTAAAATAGTGCGGCATGGCTGTTATGATGTGCTGTGTGACGTAGGATGCATGGCTGTGCGTATCGAAGCTTGTTTAGGCTGTTGTGTGAGTTTGTTGAGGTAGCAGACTGATGACCGAGTGTAGCTCAGTTGGTAGAGCGATTGACTGTAGTGTTGAATACTGTGTGTCAGTATTCTCGGAAATCAATTGGTCGCTGGTTCGATTCCGGCCACTCGGATTTTGGCTTGAAGCCTTTACTTGGGTCTCGCGTCCGTCTCTTTCTGCCTCTGCAAGGCCTTGTTTTCTATTGTGTGGGCAAGAAGCTATGTTGTTGTCAGTGTCGCAGGGTTCCGGCCGTGAAGAGCGTATACTCTTTCCGTGGTGTCGCGCAAGACCATCGTCAGACTTGGCATTTGTCTTGGCGGGTTCCGTGTAAGTCCTTTTCGCACGCCTATTTCCGCCCCATCGAAGGGTGAGTACGGGCAGTCTGTCCTCGATGGAACAAAGCCTACTGCTGCCAAATATACAGAACAAGGAAACTGCGATCGCATCGGACTTCATCAATACCACAAGTCGATTGCATTTCCTGCTCTCGACGTGTTCAGACGAACAAGCCAGCCCGAGAGCTTGGTGTCGCACTTGATAGTGGGATCAGCACTTTGATATCACTCTATCAAACGCTGAACATCTACTGCATGCCGTGATGAGTCCATGTAGAAAACGGAGCTGCAAGAGGCGTACTACGAGTAGTGATACGCGGACGAGGTGGTAAAATAGTGCGGCATGGCTGTTATGATGTGCTGTGTGACGTAGGATGCATGGCTGTGCGTATCGAAGCTTGTTTAGGCTGTTGTGTGAGTTTGTTGAGGTAGCAGCCTGATGACCGAGTGTAGCTCAGTTGGTAGAGCGATTGACTGTAGTGTTGAATACTGTGTGTCAGTATTCTCGGAAATCAATTGGTCGCTGGTTCGATTCCGGCCACTCGGATTTTGGCTTGAAGCCTTTACTTGGGTCTCGCGTCCGTCTCTTTCTGCCTCTGCAGGCCTTGTTTGCTATTGTGTGGGCAAGAAGCTATGTTGTTGTCAGTGTCGCAGGGTTCCGGCCGTGAAGAGCGTATACTCTTTCCGTGGTGTCGCGCAAGACCATCGTCAGACTTGGCATTTGTCTTGGCGGGTTCCGTGTACGTCCTTTTCGCACGCCTATGTTCGCCCCATCGAAGGGTGAGTACGGGCAGTCTGTCCTCGATGGAACACAGCCTACTGCTGCCAAATATACAGAACAAGGAAACTGCGATCGCATCGGACTTCATCAATACCACAAGTCGATTGCATTTCCTGCTCTCGACGTGTTCAGACGTACAAGCCAGCCCGAGAGCTTGGTGTCGCACTTGATAGTGGGATTTGCACTTTGATATCACTTTATCAAACGCTGAACATCTACTGCATGCCGTGATGAGTCCATGTAGAAAACGGAGCTGCAAGAGGCGTACTACGAGTAGTGATACGCGGACGAGGTGGTAAAATAGTGCGGCATGGCTGTTATGATGTGCTGTGTGACGTAGGATGCTCATCATTAAGCTTGGCCAAAGTGGCTGAACTGGTCTAGTGAAATGCCTGCGCAGCTTCTTGCGGCTTCATGAGCCGATGATCGCGCCGAACTTGTGTCTTTTAAGGACGCAGCTGAAAATCTGCAAGACCGTGATGCAATTGCCCATTGCCATTGATGCAGAAGAATCGCAAGATATCCGACGGGTTGGGTCGCAGATTACTGTGAAGAAGCGCCAGGAGGAGCAGATACAATTTTACTCACACCATTTTGTTTCGCGTTGTGATAGTCAAAGCAAATGCTCTAGAGGAAAACTGAGCAGCGCTTGACGGTGATCTATTGCTTCGGCACTTTTCCTTACCTTAAAACCCAGTTCCTACAGCCCAATCCAGTAGGATCGACCGTTAGGATTATGAATAGGCACGTGGTACTTGCCGTCACCTGAAGAGACTGACCATTCGTACCAGACACGGTTGTTAGACTCCAGTCTCCAAAAATGCACTACGACCTTCTCGCCCTTCTGGACACGCAGTGGCTGGCGCAAGGGAAAGTAAATGGGGAACCAGCTGAACATGCCATCGGAATGCGTATCTGGCTCGATACTTAGCGTCACATCATCGTAAAGCACAGCATCAAAGTAGCCTGCGAGACCGTGGACAACAGCACTCTCAGCAGCGGTAAAGTGGAGCTCTGCTTGCCTCCTGTTGTCAATCCGTGAGTTTAATTTTGGATGAGTGAACTGGAAACAACTCTGGGTGGGCGCCAACGCGTAAAAGTTGTGTAACCGCACGACGTAAGGCGTCTCGAAGCTCTTGAGTGAGTCGTGAACCTTCACCTCGTTCCAAAGTTTTGAAGACATCACAGGCGTTACGAAAGATGTGTACACACGCGGGATGCTGATACCACTTTCTACAACACGACAAGACGACAGTTAGCGTTTTGTAGAAAATGCATCATATAAAAAGAGAAAAGTGCCCACCCTGCAAGAAATTTTGAGCGCCGTCCAAGCACTCTGGGGACAGCTCGTTGTCGCCAAAGGATCCAAGGAGCTCGCTCACCATGATGTCGGCACGCTCATTCGTGCGCCAGCTACGCATGTCGGATGCGACGATCGAGACGTTATCCCATTTCTCTGAAATCTTGAGGTTGCGCAGAGTGATGACTGCGTTCGCATTCTTTTCCACGGCGAACATACGTATCTTTCGGTTTGCGCTAATGGCTGCACGAAGAGCGCAGCGTACGAGGGGTCCGCGACCAGCGCCAACAACCATCACAAAAGACTCCTTGTCTGCGGGGGTATGCTCTAATGCCTTCGTGATTGCTTTCTCATACTGATTGTACTTGAAGGCATCCTGCTCAAATGTCTCGTACGTCTGTGATTCCAAATTGTCCATAAGAGGCTGTAGTGGCGCCTGAAGGTAGTCTAGGTAAGGCGCCTCAAATTGTGCCTTCCGATCCTGGCTCGGACGTTTGCTGTACAGAAAGTGCAGATACTGCACATACGGCAGAATTTTTCCACGATGGCGGGGTCGTCCGCTCAAGTAGAACTGGACCTTGTGCTGGAAAAGCTGCGCCATGAGCGTTTGGTGTCGCTGAGACAGCGTCGGGTATCCCTTGCGGTTCGTCAGGAAGACATTCGTTGCAATGATCGCTGCCTATTTTTACGACACACTAGTTGAGTTAAAGCCCTACACTATGAAGCGTTAATCACTCACCTTGACAGGTTCACCGAGCCAGCGCTGAATCTCCTCGGCACTAGGCAGGTCTGCTGTAATTTCCAACGCCACATGCAGCTTCGGATGGTATTCACAGCGAGCACGTAAAGAGTCCCATGCTTCCCATGGGTCCGATGAATCATCGTCCTCCTCATCGTCTGTTTCCATCATGATAGTAGCATGATGTCCCACAACAGGGTCATATTCCATCGATGCCTTAATACTAGACTGCTGTCTCGTTGTTAGCGGGATACGCACCCAGAATTGGACGTATTGCGCCTGTGTGAGCGTCTGGTTGAGTATCCGCGCGTAATTGGAAGAATTGGTGGCGTGACGCGGCGTCGGTAGCATCACAGCCGGCACGGACAGGTGCGAGGCCCAGGCCACTTCTTGCTTAAAGACCTTCTCGGCACTCAATCGTGTTTCCAGCGTAGCAGCGTCCATGTCGATCCACTTGGAGATATTGCCCACCACCGACATCGTCCAACCACGAGAATCCATGACCAGATCCGAGCGAGTTTGTGGACCGTCGCGAGTATCCGAGAGCTCGTGGTCATCACGCTTATAGCTGAATAATACTAGTCAGTAAGTATTAAATACTAGTAGTAAATGCATCAAATAACATTAATACCGAGGATGGAAGAGCGGCGCCGCGATGCCATTCATCTTGTCCTTTTGAACCTGTTAGAGAGAAAAGAGTGCAATCCAACACATACTAAGACGCAAAAAAAGACTAGAACATGATGATGCAATTAAATATGAAGTCAAACCTGGTCCAGCGTCGCAGGCAAGTCATGGACAAAGGACGTCTCGAGTCCGACGAAAATGCGGCTCATGGTTTGTTCTATTGGCTGGTGATTGGTGTACTCATGGCACTCAACTGAATACCTCTTACTAATAACAGCTGAGTCGAACGCGCATGGAATCAGAAAAAATCATGCAACGCATCTCGTGGCTCGTGTGGCTGATGCTGCTCTCGGCGCTTGGCATTTCCACCGCCGTTGAAGACGAATCCGTTCCACCCAAGACCGTCAGCGACGTTGATACTACATTGTTAAGATCCAGAGTGAAAGAGACGGATGTTCCCCAACAATTTGAAGAGTTTGTGGACAATGTGACGCTGTCTGCTGCGTTTTCTGGCTGTGGGTTGTGCCAGGCAACAGGCCAATGCGACCGAGCTTTTCACGGTCAACCGGGTCAATTCTGTATTGGATTGACATCAGGAGCACCTTGTTGCTGTCCAAGAGACGCCCAGTGCGCTGCTAATCCGTACGAGTGTCGTTGTCGTCGTACTGTGGCCTACCATTACGATCGTGACGATTCTCACCATCATTCGTCATCAAGTGGAGTGTCAGACGCTATCACCTTCTTTCTATTTTTACTACTATGCTGTGGGTGCTGTTGTTATCTACCAGCACGTTGTGCCCGACGGGAGAGAGAGGAACAGATTGAGTACGCGCAGCCCGTTGCGACAAACCAATACGGCACGTACGCGAGTCAGCAGCCACAAGCTCCTTATGCGTACGCGTCGGCACCTGTGGCATATGGAGCGTCTCCTTATCACGAACGTGGTGGGGGTAATAATACAATGGCAGCGGGAGCTTTAGGGGCGCTGGGAGGGCTGGGCGTCGGCGCGGCGTTGGGCTCCGCGTTTGGTGGTCACAACAATAACAGAGACTACAGCGGCGATGTGGGCGGTGCGTATGACAACACGTACACATTCAGTGGAGACGCTGGTGGAGGCGATTTTGGTGGGGATTGCGGGAATTTTGGCGGAGATGACGGCACCTTTGCTGGTGACTCGTAATTGTGACGAAGAGGTGGAAAAGTGGAGGTGGTGGTGCTGCCACAACAACTCCAGATTAAGAGCATTGTGTTATGCCAACATGATACATACCTACGATGAAATTGAACGTCTTTGTAGCTTTACCGTGGCCAACAGCTAAATAGCAATATCACCACACGACAAGGTAGCCACAGAAGACAAGGCAGCCAATGATGAAAACCCATTGTCCTCCTTACACATGCTGAACCATTTAGTCATTTCTGCAATCAGTTGAGCCTCTGCAGTCTCATGAAAAAAGCAGCTTGTACATATATCTTTCCTTTTCACTTTTTCTTGATCGCCTGCCGCTTTCATCTTACTAAGACGGGAATACGCAAACCACTTGCTGCACTTATTTGGTTACGAGCACCTTCTTGAGCGACTCGACGCGCACGGGGCCCGATCGTGAGCGCACTGGGAATCGGTCCAAGTACATGACCTCACACTTGTTATTGGTCTTGATGTTCTTGCACAAAGTCTCCCATACCTTGTTTTTCTTCATCTGGATGGGAGTCACGGGCTCTTGCAGCTCCTCACCACTCGCGTACACGCGCTCACCAACCTCAGCCTCTGGACTCGGATCCAACAGCTCCACTTTCTTGCCCTTGTCGCTGGCTACCAGCAGAATACTGCCCGTAGAGCGCATTCGCACTATCTTGACCATCTTGAGGTTGCACAGCACGACGACCTTACGGTCCAGCAGTTCTTCTTCGGCAAAGTACGGCTGGTGCTCCATGACCATCTCAAGCTCTTGGCCCTTGCCAATATCTACCTTCTCCACATAATGGCGCTCGGAGTTCGGATGTGCCTTCACTTCAATGATCTTGCCTACTCGTAGATCCAACTGGGAGAAGACGATCGGGGAGCTGTACACGTCGGACTTGACCATGATGGTAGTGAACGGTTCGAAGACGAGATCCTGTACAATAACGTGCACTTTGAACGTCAATTGAGAAATGAGAGGCAAATGCACCACGCAGTCTCCCAGAAGCTGCATGTCTGGCTTGCTGCATGGGTTCTCTCCTAGTCTGGCCAACTTCAAGCACGCCCTTAGAGTCTCTGCCAATCACAAGGACGAATGCATAAAAGGCTGTTTTGGTGCAATTTGAGTGGATGGAAAAAGGCCATTGCCGACAGGTTTTAGTCAGAGCTTCAAGTCAATAAAAGAAAGGAGCAATTTTAAGGATGAAGCAGTCAATAGATGAAGTAGACGAAAGGCTTACACAACCAAGTCGATGAAGACCTCGAAGAAGCAGCAACTAGACCACGTAGAAATATTGCAACAAGAATACACAGCTTCGTTTTTAGTTTACAAGGTTACGATCGCAACGTCACTTCCAAGACTGACTTTAAGTGTCGTAACCTTGTCTATTTTCATTTAATTATCTATGACATGGATTGGCGGGTGACGACCATATCGCTACAAAAACTCAAGTAGAAATCGAAAAGCTGCAAAAGATCGAAGGCAAGAACGAGGTCGTCTGGTTTAGCAGGAGTCCGAAGGAGTTTGAGACGCGGTGGCACTTGTCGAGAGGTCGATTGGATCCAATTTGGAGAAATAGATAGCGCCTACTACCAACAGGGCCAACTATTCAAGGCTGCTTCTGCTCACTACTACCGAGATTGAGCTAAGATTATTGACGTGGATGAAAGCTCGCTGGTGATGCGATCTCGTAACGATGCAAAAAGTGGTATATATTTCTTATATTAGCTTAGTACAACGCTAAAAGCAGTGCATTTACCGATACACTCAAGCTTTGCGTCTTTTCAGCCATTAAAAATGACCCAAGATAATTAAGACGACTTCAAGCTGTAGGTCGGTCAAAGTCGGATGTGGAGAAAGATGGAAACTGCAAGGACTAACAGAGCAAAGATGCCTCTGCCCATCACGTCGCTGTTACACTTAAGACACTTAAGACACACGTAAGTATATGTTTACTTCCAACGCAGATCCCCGACTTGTTTTGTGTTAGCCGCACCATTACTGACAGCACGTGTGTACAGCAGCTGCGCTTAGTCCGACGTCTCTGCCAGTCCACACGACTCGAGTAACAACGTGCTCGACTTGTTGTAGCGTCTCGTCTGCCACGTTTCGGATCGAGTTTGAGAACTTCAAGCAGTATTCAATCTGACAGGGATCCTACGAACTTCAACATTGACATGCCCATCCGGCTGACAACGGGCTCAAGACCCACGGGTTCAAACTCAGCTAACAATGGCGATGAACTCCCAGTCTCGAGCTACTAATTGAACCTCCTCACACGCTCAAGCTATGAACTGCTCGCTGATATCGAATGCATGTTTCTTTTATTGACTTGAAGCTCTGACTAAAACCTGTCGGCAGTGGCCTTTTTCCATCCACTCAAATTGCACCAAAACAGCCTTTTATGCATTCGTCCTTGTGATTGGCAGAGACTCTAAGGGCGTGCTTGAAGTTGGCCAGACTAGGAGAGAACCCATGCAGCAAGCCAGACATGCAGCTTCTGGGAGACTGCGTGGTGCATTTGCCTCTCATTTCTCAATTGACGTTCAAAGTGCACGTTATTGTACAGGATCTCGTCTTCGAACCGTTCACTACCATCATGGTCAAGTCCGACGTGTACAGCTCCCCGATCGTCTTCTCCCAGTTGGATCTACGAGTAGGCAAGATCATTGAAGTGAAGGCACATCCGAACTCCGAGCGCCATTATGTGGAGAAGGTAGATATTGGCAAGGGCCAAGAGCTTGAGATGGTCATGGAGCATCAGCCGTACTTTGCCGAAGAAGAACTGCTGGACCGTAAGGTCGTCGTGCTGTGCAACCTCAAGATGGTCAAGATAGTGCGAATGCGCTCTACGGGCAGTATTCTGCTGGTAGCCAGCGACAAGGGCAAGAAAGTGGAGCTGTTGGATCCGAGTCCAGAGGCTGAGGTTGGTGAGCGCGTGTACGCGAGTGGTGAGGAGCTGCAAGAGCCCGTGACCCCCATCCAGATGAAGAAAAACAAGGTATGGGAGACTTTGTGCAAGAACATCAAGACCAATAACAAGTGTGAGGTCATGTACCTGGACCGATTCCCAGTGCGCTCACGATCGGGCCCCGTGCGCGTCGAGTCGCTCAAGAAGGTGCTCGTAACCAAATAAGTGCAGCAAGTGGTTTGCGTATTCCCGTCTTAGTAAGATGAAAGTGGCGAGCGACAGAAACCTTTTGGGAGGCGCCTCTGATAAAGGGCTCTCTTGTAGTGGGTGAGAAATGTGGAAGAAGGCAAATACATGTACGACTTGCTTGTTTAATGAGACTTCTGGAAGAATTAGACTGAGTTTCATCGCCATGTTTGATGCCACCGCTAACCCAACCGCTGCTGACGATCTCAATCAGAACGTCATCGCCATCTTACATAGTTAGATCGTAGACCGCTACATCACGGCGATCGCCATCGCACATGGACAGGACCTGTTCACACCTCGTCCTTGTCGATGGTCTTCTTGGCACAGTCTTCATACTAAGGAATAGTCCCACGCATGCCATTATGACGTGAAATCCCTGGCACTTGCTCTGCTTTTCGAGTCGAATCTCGGGTAGCAAATTGTTTGATTTGCCTACTGAACAAAGCAAAGTTTCTGGCCTGGTGCGTACTCTACATAAACAATGGGTACTGGATCAAATGACCCAGTAAAATCCTGCGGACTGCCTCCTACCGAGTCGCATGCGGAGCTGCCTGCCAAAACGCGTGCAGCGAAAAAGATACCTCCCTTTGACCTTGCTCCCACAATGGCGGACTATCCGGAATGGAGACATTATGCCGGCTCTGCAGAGGGTCCATCTCTGTCCATTGTCGCACTTGACTGCTCTTCGAAGGTGCTACCACAACACAAGCAAGTGCTACCACGACACAAGCAAGTGCTACCACAACACAAGCAAGTGCTACCTTTGGAAGATGCCTGTTCGAAACAATAAGAGCTTATCATTTCGGCTTTCACTGCCTACGCTCTCACCTTTCTTTGCGCTTCACTCAAGTCAAGTACTCACGATAAAAGTCGTCTACATGGCTATCTCAGCTTCGCTTCTGATCAAATCGATTAATGATATCATCAACGGTACAGAGCTCCACATGGCCGGACTTATCAAGGATCCTTATATCGCCAACGACCCTTTTGTGGCGGTGTTCTTATTGCCGATCATCATGTCTTAACGCCGGCGATGTCCTTTATAGATAAGTAGCCCATTTCGTGCTTCTTCAGGTGTAATACCTCATTACTTTGCCTTGTTACTGATGGCAAAGAAGACCCGACAATTGGGCATCAATACCTAACACGCAAGTTTCAGCTCCTGGGACTCGTGACGGCGTTATGTTATGGTCTCACTGACGTCAATTGTGGTGTGACGATTGTGTGCACATTTCTTTGCGATGACGTCGTTACTACAACCCCTGATATATCACTTTACAGTATGATATATTAGTCAGTAGTATTAGTATTCTAATATACTATGACTATCAAGGGGATACACCTCTTGATATGTCATAGTACAGTAAAATAATAGTACTACTGATTCATATTTCGACACTTGACACCATACATAATAATCAATCATGACTAAACTATGCGACTTGCTTGGCTCTCGATCAGAGGTCATGTACGAATGCATGTACACTACACACAAGACGCAGAAGCGCAAGATCTGGCACGATGGATTCGTAAGGCTTTATTCCTCGCGAAAAATCATCGTGTACGCTGACGATGAAAGAAAAGCAGGGAAAGTCATTGACGAAACGAAATTGTCTTTGGTCGATTGGGATTGTAAGGATGAAGAGCATATTGAGACGTCCAAGTAGGTCGATGTTCACGTACTTTATTACTATGTAAACAATAAAGAGATGCACTCAACATGTGTTACTACTACAGATTTCTAGTTGAGATTGTCAACGAGACGCCAGTCGATGCTACTTCTTATACGAGTACATCTGTCAATACAGCTCAACAGTCTTCTCGTATGAATCATTTGAGACCTCATGCCGGACTGGAAGGAAAAATGCGCCTCTCTAACGCCAAGGTTCGCACCCCAGTGAATCATGATGTTTCACGGCAGTGTAGACCAGCTCGAGTCGGACAAGGATACAAGAATCGCAATATATCTACTACATCTAATGTGTCAACTTCACGGACTTTCGAGTCGCTTTCGTTCGACTTTGCTCGTAATCCAACGTCTGAATGGAACTACGTTCCACACGCAATCAACCGAACTCGTAGGATTCTTTACTAGTTATCTAGAGGAATTACGGTGATGTAGACTGACCTTGTTGACTGTTGTTGTAATAGCTGACGAAGTGCTCGCTCTGCTAGAAATGTGAACCATCAAGTGCGAGGCAATCCCAGTACGAAAAAAAGCTGCGTTGATGGAATTATCCAAGTAGGTGACTATGTCTATGCATCAGTTAAACAGCTGCGTCATGCGTCACGACAGACACGTGTTCCCATGAATCCGATGTCTCCATAAGCACTCTTGAGTACATGCCACGGTCATCCTGCTGGATCTCAATGTAGCCTTTTCTTCGCGTATAATCGCGCAACAGCTTCATAAGCACAGCACCGAATAGTAGCGCCAATACACACGCACACACGTCGTACACAATGTCGAGGACTTTTGCATTCTTGACACGTGTAGACGTTGTCATTTGCGAAATCATCGACGGAAAGAGGCTCGATGCGACTATATTATACCGTCGCATGGTTGAGAGATGCACAGCAGCGGGGAATGGCAATGACTTTGGACCATTAAAACAACTATGGATACATGTAGCTATCATGACAAGTGAGCAAAAGTGCCGTAGGCCATTCGACCTTTATTCGTCGTAGATGATGAAGGTCGAGTTGCTAATTTCGCAGTGACGTAACGATTGGCCAAGTTCACCACGTAGGATCTCGTCGGGATTGTTCCTTGAGTGCAAGATGCAGCTGAGACAGACCTTGACTTGTGTAGATTCCGAATCCACCAATACAGGCATTTTCCGACAGCAGCGACCACAACTTGTTTCACCACAGAGGCGACAATCGTGACGCTTTCGAAGGAAGGAGAACGCATACTGACACACGTTGCAATTCCGTTGTTGCTTGTCCTTGTCTCCAGTTGTAAATGAGCGATGTTTGCGGTTCACGACCCTGTTGTTTTCCGACACGAGGTGATTGCCAAAGCTAGTTTTCTCGGCGTGAGCACGCAGGTTCGATAGACGTACACCAGCTTGTTCCTGCCATTGGGAACGTCTGGATGAGCATTTGCTCTTTGGGTCGAGATGCGATGCAAATGTCACAACCACGACGCCAGGTGTTGCGGTCTCCCGCACAATGTATACCTCGCAGCGGATTGACGCACGCACATACTTGAGTGATGGTTGCATCTCTGGCACGCGAATGGACTCGATGATGCGGTATCCGATCAATTTGCCATCGGGTGAGGTGCTTACGTCCGTGTAGTCCAAGTACACGAGGTCCAGTGGCGTGGTACCAAATGGATTCTTCATAGCTAAGTACTTGAGTCCACAGTGGAAGTATATCGAGTTCGTGGGTTGAGCACAGGACGCCAAGACCTTGGCTTCAATCACCTGGTCCGATCCCAATATGATCTTCTGTGCCTCTTTAAATGCTTCTGTTGTCTCTCCAGCCGACAAAACGGACATGACGTTCTTCACGGATGCATTCACATGCGTGACTCCACGGACTTCACACCGTGAACGATTGGACTTAAACAACTGTACACCATTTTTAGACTTAGCGGCTTCCCAGTGAGAACCTATAACGTCGCCATCTTCGAGTGGAGAGATGTTGCTAGGCGCCCGAATATCGTCTGTCTGATCGTCAGATGCAAACGCCAATGCAATGCTGTATCTACGTTTAATGTAGCTATAACAACCAGCCTTTTGTGCATCACTGAGCAGTGTCGAGTCCTCAGGCCTAACTCGTCCCTCTCTCCCATCTGCCGACACGGCCGACCTGCATCGAACACGTTCGGTAAAACGAGGTCCGTTCGACAAGTATCTGTCCTGCACAACATCTTCGTCTTCATCCTCCTCTTCATCCTGGTTGTTGCAGTCACTATCTTCGTGTACCCGTTTGCCCTTTTGATTGCCTAGAACTCCACTAAAAATGGGCGCAGCTCCGAGTCGCTGCTGAAAACCAGACCAGAGTTCCTGTCGCTTAAGACTCAAGTGTTTGTGGATAGTGGAGCTCCTCGATGCCGGTACCGCATCGAAATTGCTGCTCGGTCGAGATGATAAATTCCGCTGCATCACCTCACTGGTCATCGTATTTTTATCTGAAGGTGGTGTCGAAAGCAAATGGTCGTTGGCGTCACTAGTCGTCGGTATAAACAACGTTCTGATTCGTGCTGCTGACTCGAAATCAAAGCTCCAATGATCCTAACTGAAGCTTCGAGCGTTTTTTACGTTGTGTGAAGGACGAAGAAAAGTTGTGGTATCATTGAGAGCATGTCACAACGAGCACTTGTGGCTTGAGTTCAAGGATCGGCATACCGACCGATTTTCGTGCTCCTTCTACAACGCTTGGGCGACAGCTGGCGGTAGCCAAAAGCTCTTCTTTCGTGGTCCTTTGACAGCCAAGCGTTGATAGCGCAGTTCCGTGATTAAACCTTGAAGCTACGGTACGACAGACTAAACGACAAGACTTTTCGAATTCATTTGCTGTCTATGCAGTGCTAGTTATCAGAACTTCCACGATCCCGCGGTGGAATCCTGTCGCTTGTGCCCAGCATTTTTTGTTAGCAAAGCCATTCCATGTTTTTCTTGCAGCTTTAGCTTAAGCAAGATAGGCAGGCATCTACACACTACAATTGTTGTTGCACTAACTAAAGCATTGATAGTTGGCTCATATCTTGGATACAATGTCAGATACCAGCAGTAATGGACATTCGTATTACTCATCATCATCATCAACATCGCAACATTGTTTGTATTTCTTTTGCGTAGCGATCTCGTCATCATCGTACAATTGACTACACACGATGTGACTAAAAGTGTTCGATAGGCCGACCATCTTGTACTTAGTCAGAACGAAGCAGAATTCTATGGCTACAACGGATTACGAGACGGATCGAATTGGTCGTGGACATCTACTCCCTTATTGCACTCGATTACGCAGTTGAAGCAGCTGTTTCTGCATCACATTCAGTAATACCTCTCTCATTCCACGACGCATTCTGTTGCCAAGGAAGTTGCTGCGAAGAACGTTCCGACGTAGCTCAATTGCTAGCCACTGACTTGCTGATTCTTTCAAGTTTCCTTGAGCGTTCGTATCCACGACAATTCAACAGGAAGTACATTGAGGTCAGCATGTGACTGGCACAGAAGGTCATCCATGAGCTCTTTCAAAACAGTGGAAGGATTGTTCTGACGAGATAAAATGCACAGTGTGGAGATTTTTGTTATCAATTGGTTCCACAACATACAGCGCGACACTACGACGCTTATTCATCGTCCTCGTCGTCATCGTTCTCGTCCTCTTCCTCGAACGTGTCGAGAGGGACAGAAAACAGTCGGATAATGGGTTTATTCGGGTCCTTCATAACAACGTACTTGCCCTCAGGCTGCTCCAGTAACAATTCCGACAACATCTTGATGATACCCCACGTGTTGTTCTGGTTGAGTGCAATCTGCGTTGCAAACGTGTTTGGATTGTAAGACTGCATGCCCAGCACGACGTGCGAGTACGGGTCTTTAAAATTAAAGCGAGACACGTAGCCCAGCTTCATTTCGTCCAGACCAGCCAGCAGCGCCTGTGCCGTCCATTTGGCCAATTTGCACGAGTTGTTCTTGAGCTCATTCGCTAGGATGGCACCACGCTGGAAAAGAGTACAGAATAATAGCAGAAGAGTGAGTAAGTTATCAAGTTTACAGCCGTCATTCAATGCATACAGATACAAACAGAAGGTGGTGGTTGAGTCTCTCCTATTGTAAGCTTTTCCTCACCAAGAGTGTAGGAATAGCGTATATATAAAGTTGTGGGCATTCATCGAGACCACCACACACATAGCTACCATCATGTACTCTCATCGTTTCACTTTTTCCATACCAACAGTGGAAGGAGTAGCGAGTCGATCACTGAGTACAAGCAGCTCATTCACACACATTTGATACAATAGGCCCTCATGCAGTAGTGACTTTCATACCATCCATTCTCCTCATCAAGAGTGTAGGAATAGCGTATATAGAATATGAGTAATCATAAAGTCCAGCACAAAGGCATGCCCAGATATCCACACATACAAACATGCACTCACACACAATGCTAAATTTGCATCACGTACCTGAGAATCAATTTTCTTGCGCCACTCAATAGAGCCTGGAAACTTGGGGTCGTACTCATTCAGTGCGTACGTGGACACGTACTCTTTCTTGCCCTTCTTCAGAGCCACGGCTTGCACCTCGCAACGGCAAACCAATTTCATACCACCACCCAAATCAAACTTCCTGTAACGGTAAGCACCGCTGGCAGGCTTGGCATCACCGCTTGCGAATGGGTTAGCAGCATCAAGCTTCTTGTAGAAAGCTCCATTGCCGATTTTGAGTACCTGTTGTGACAGATTCTGGTTAATCATAGTAGCTTCAAGACTGAGACGGTCCGGGTGGTTCATGTGCTCGGGATCTTCTTGGTTTGGCGGATCCGATGCGTTTTCATTGACTGAGAGCAAATCAAAGCTGGACTCGTCACGTTTGTCAAAAAACACCATATTGTTCACACGTTGGGCCACAACGTCCCACGGAAAGACAGAGCGTGTCGCTGTCATAAGGTGCGACAAGATCGCATCCGTGGCAAACACCGTGGCTTCTCCCTGCTGTGCAAGTTCTTCAATAACAGGATCGTCCGTCGTTGTGACGTAGTAAAAGTCACGGTCGTCGTAGCGGTGCACTCGCGTGTTGGAGCGACTCGTGAGACGGTCAAAGGAGGCGTCATACTCACGCAGCTCGCCACACCACTTTAGGTCCTCACTCTTTGGAATATTAGCTTGAAGTTTCGTAAGCTGCTGCATCTCGAACTGGTCAATAAGAGTCCAACTGGCTTGCACCAAGACGGACGCTGTGCGGTCCACCTGCGGCTCATCCCGACGACGAAACGTAAATTGACGTCGTGCGTTGCTCAATCGATCCCAGCGCTTGTTCTGCTTCTGCATACCCTTCATACGAAGCTGTGCCGATGATGTCGTGGCTGCGTTTGCATCGGGTTTGTCGTTATAGCTACCACGACCACCACGACCACCTCCACCACGTCCACCACGACCACCGAAACGTTGTTGATTCCATGTAGGACGCAGTCGGTCCTCTGTTTTAGGACGCGTGCCCTTGGAGGTGTCCACTAGTTGGAAAGTAGCGTCCTCCTTCGAGTCGTGTTTGTATTGAAACTCGACGTTTACACCCGAGGGATCCCGTGCATAGCGACTACCACGTGGTGCGTAATTGGATACAAAATCCGCGGCTTTTCCTAATTTGTCGCCCTTATTAAACGGTGCATACGGGACATTTAGAAACTGTTCAGGGAGTGCCGTGGGACCCCAACCATTAGCATTCACGTCAACACGTGGAGTCTCATACGAAGCCATTCTAGATGATGGAATGATACAATTTCAAGAAGGTGAGGAGAAGAGCTGTGAACCAGTCATTTGGTTAAGGTTACTGCCACAAAATCAAGTGGAATGTAGAATATGTAACATCTGTAGCCATATAGAATGGATACATTTGAGTTATGTAAACCATCGAAAGGACGAGAGCTTCAAGTTGAAGTTATAGTCAACATGGTGCATGTATCATAGTACTGAGTTTCTACTCGATGGCCGTTACTTCTGTAGAAATACGTGGCATTGCTTGAGTTTTGGGACGATATTGAACGTCTTGCATGTAGGAGTCAACTCGTGCAGCAATTTTGGCGTGTGCCCATTGCAATTGCGATGAGTCCTTCTCATTCGGATAGTACATGTCTGCACAGTGAGCAGTGCCTTGAATAAACACAGCTTCAGATGAGTACGAGTGTAATCTGGTTGAGTTCTGGACAGCCAATGCATGCCATGGATCAATTGTCCCGCTTGGAAAAGCTACACCTTCCACTTCGATCCCAAGCGAGCCGTAGTCGAGATTAGCGCCAGCGACATCTGGAGAAACATTCATATTGTACACGCGCTTGCAAATTTCAGTGCCGACATTGGCTTGTGTAACCCCACGAAGTGCATGGAAAGGAGACCGCGTACTTGTCGTGGTCTGGAAGTAGCCGAACTCATTGCATGTCTGATACACCCATTGACGAGCACTACTTTTCCCATCGAACTGGTCACGACTCAGCACCTCGACGGTCCCGTTAGCTGCCCCTTGAAACTTAGAGTCGAGACAATCTCCTACACGAGTCATGTTAATGAACGAAGCCAGCTTTTCCAAAGCATTCTTCGGTTCAGCAAAGTGCTTGCAGACTTCCTCCAGAGTCATGACTTCTTCGTGAATAGCATTGTATTGTGCGATATCTTGAAACGCGCCCATGATAGAAGTCTCGAAAACCGAGTCGTCGAATTCATTGACCATCGGGTAGCACGGCTTGAACAATGCATCCACGTACTTGCGACCTTCTTTTCCACCATCCATGAGCTGTCCAAGCTGCGTAATTGCCTTTTCCACTTCATGATAGCACTCACCGCCACCAAAGTATCGTAGTCCATCTCCAACAACTTCCATGTACTCATAAAAGTTTGTTTTTACATGTAACGGTGCTGAACTCGCTACCGTTCCTGCAAAGAGCGCCGGGTATTTCAACTTGATCCATGCCGCTAGATTACCTGGATAGCTTCCTCCAAATGCCACCCATTTTTCATCTGTCAGTCCATACTTGTCCGTCACGAAAGAATGAAAATGTGCCAAGTCTGACAATGCTTGTTCACTGGAGAGATACCTTAGGTTCGGTAGACTCATGTCCTTGGTCGGGTACGATTGCCCATAGAACCGATGCTCTAGTGCGACCAGCAGTGCCCCGTGCTGTTCCGCCAAGTAGTAAATGAAGGTGCGATTGGTAATAGCTTTAGGTCCTAAAGGTCCTTCACCTCCAATGTAGAGAAACACGGGATAGCCATGACCATGCCAGAATTCTTCATTCACTTGGTATCTCTGCTTCCACGTTGTGCGTTTGGACACAGGAGCAAAGTGATCGACAATAGCATCAACAAAGAATTCTTCTTGGACTGGCAACTCGACCGAGTCATCCTCGGATTGATGCAAGTCAAAGTGCACAAAATATTCGTGACCACGAAAGTCCTGCAGTCGTTGCAAATTATGTGCGTGCACGGCTGATACGTTCATGCCGCCAAGGACTAGAGAGATCCATGCAATGACTATGAAAGTACGCAGTAACGTCATGCTTTCAGATTGAAAAATGATAAAGGACTTGCAAGGGAGAAAGGGTCTTTATGAAGGAAGGAGCTAAGGACGTTGAGATCCGATGATACATACCCATGTCACGCATGATGATTTGCAAATGAATATGACAGGGGAGCCACCACGATGGACTTGTTCGATCAGATGTACTACTTTTCTCCTGTCAAACCATGACGAAACTTCATCATACGAGAGAACTGGCCAGCAGCTTGACGACTTCGATTGGAAAAGGTCCTCCTGCCATGTCTGCGTTTGATTCAGCAGTAGACTTTTCATCGGGATGAACCAGATTTGGTAGCTGAGTTGGTGCACACCAGCTCAAAGATGTAGAAGTGGTTTGTTCGTGTGCCCAGTAAGCACCAGTTGTCAACTAACACTGGTGAGCCAAAGAGTGGACCTAGTTTAGTGCTACACTGTTTGCTAGTTGTATCGTGCGTGTCTTCTTCACCACTTGACTCATTCGTTTGGTACACAATGGACCCTGTAGTTTCGTCGCAGAAGTACAAACCGCCAGCTGTAGTTGTGACGCAACAAAGTAAGCGACCATCATCATTGGTTTCGCTCTGGTTCATTGATCTCGAGGCAAACTGAAGCCGAACAACCGTTGGTGATGCAAAGATGGCGCTATGGAGGTTGGTAGTCCATGCGAGTTTTCCATTCTGGCAATCTACTTTTCGTAGCATACCGTCGTGAGATCCAAACACAATCGATCCTGGACGGTAGACGCAAGGCGAACTGAAAATTGGCTTATCCGTCGTGACCTGCCACTGGATGCTACCGGTACTCATTGAGACTCCGTAGAGCTGTCCATCCGCACACCCGATAATCAGCATCTTGCAAGTGGAGTCGGCATTCAGTCCTGCAAATACCGGAGCCTGGAGCTGCATCTTCCATTGTTCCTCGACGCAGTCAAAGTTGGAAGATGAACGCAGAGCCACGACATTCCCGTTCGTGGTAGCGGAAAAAAGTTGTCCGGACCAAGCGCAGTAAAGAGGTGTTGCAAAAATGCTACCGTCAACGTCGAATGCCCATCGCTGTTGACCCGTCAACGTATCTAGACCGTACAACGTGTTGTCATATGCACCGCAGACTACCAGTTGCTGATTATCCATCACCAATGCTGAAGCTTTGATGATTCCTTTTGCGTGGAATCTCCAATGGGTGACTCCAGATTGCAGACTCAGAGCGAAAAGTGATCCTGCATACGTTCCCACATACACGATTTCGTGCTTTACACTGATAGCTGCGCACGCTTCGATACGATCATCAAGTGTGACTCGCCAAATTGCCTGCCCAGCTGCCACCACATCAACACAAACTACCTGGGCTGAGTGTGAGCCGATAATTGCCCAAGTAGAGCAAACAGCACCTTTGTGGTCGCGATGCTGTACTACAATAGGGGACGCATCGATGCACTTCCCGAGGTCAACTTGGCACGTACGTCGTAGTTCCCACGGCATGCACAATGACGATGCTGGAACAGTCTCCTTTACCGATGACGAAGGCTGAGTATAGCACGTAGGGAGGTAAAGACCGTCGACACTAGCAGATGAGTGATTGTAGCGAGATACAACCGTCAATCTGCTTTGATGAGTGCTACCGCGACCATTGCCAACATTGTCACCTGAGTACGCATGGTGTCTTTTCTTTTGTCGTTTGAGTTCACCTGCAGTGCCTGAGGCACATTCATTGACTGAACTGTAGTTGCATGAACGCTTTCTCAATGGCAATGAGCTCTCCTCTTTCATCGTTTCGCATATGTGATCTTGGGTTCGAAAGCTTCCAGTGCATGCAGACAGAATGTCCTTGATTTCCATTCCAAGCTGGACAACAAATGAAAACGATATGTTTTCGTTAGTGGCGAGCCTAGGCATGGACAAAGTAGCAGACGTACCAAGTCCTGAGCAGTCAAGGAAAGCTCGTTACATTCTTGACGAAGTTCATGCACGAACAGAGCTGCTAGTAGTGAATTTCCACCTACCTCTCTGAACGTGCGGGGGTGAATGTCATCGAAAACGTCATCCAACAAGGGAATTTCTAGAAACTCGTTCAGAAATCTCGCAACTAACTTTTCCGATGTGCTTTTCACTTTGTTAATGCGCGGCCTTGGCAGCGAAACGTTGCAATCATCAATGAAATGCTCGATCAATCTCTTCAACGCTTGCCGATCAATTTTTCCATGTGCAAGTCGTGGCACAGCTTTTGTTGACATCATAAACACTTTGTGAGGAATGTGTGACGTTCCGAAGCTCTCTGCTATCCAAGCATCAAACGCTTTTGTAGGAAAATATCGAGCGATGGCGGGATTGCTCAAGTCGTCGTTGCAAACGATGCAAGCCACGATACACGTTTGCAGAAACGCATGTTTGGTCGCGTCCTTCGTTATTGCAAACGCGTAAACCTGGCCTTGGTGATCAAATCGTGTGTCTCTCATTGTTTCTTTGAGAGCACTTGCTACTGCACGTTCCACTACTTCCATGTAGACTCGTTGTCCGTGAATTTTCACGGCATTGTCCATGCGTCCGCAAAAATATAGATGTCCTCGGATTACCGAGCAAGTATCACCGCTGCAAAACCATCGGCTCGATGGCACCGTTATTTTATCGTTGTTCTCGTTCAAACCACTCAACAACGAGTGCGAGTCAGCAAAGACGTCTTCGTGGTCGTTATCAAAGTATCCATAGGTAAGAAGGGGTCCTGAAACGTAGAGAACGCCTGTAATTTTCTGTTCATCAACCTCAGTAGATACTTTTGACTCTCTGGAATTCTTCATCGGCCAGACTGCTGTTGGTAAGCCATCGCTTGAAGGAAGGACAGTCTTCTCAACACCCTCGGGTAGAAGTACGAGGGATGTTTCATCACCACCAATTACTCCACATCTATCGAGCGAAGCGATGGGGATACCATATTCTTGCCATTCTACCATCTGAACCGTAGAGAAAGGTGCCTTCAGTTCCATACACGTGATATCACCACTCACTTCCGTGCTACCTGCAAGGAATAACGGATAGTAAGCTCGGGCTGTTGACAGAGTGAGAGTAGCTTTCCTTACCGTAGAGGTTTAGGACGGTCACGTCTAGCAAACTGGCCATGAGTTGCTGCAGGACATGAAGTGACAGTGCTTCACCGCTACTCAGCACATAACGAAGTCCAGCCAAGCAAGATTGCCGATCAATCTCTGTCGTTTGCAGCAGTAAAACTTCCAGCACACTCGGCACTGTAGTGAAACGGGTCACTTTCTCGCTGCGGATCACCTCCAGAAAGCGTGAGCTATTGTCAAGCACAACACTTTTCATATAGGAGTGGCTATTGCCTTCTGCTTGATTCCGTGGAGACTGCAGATGAACCAGCGGCACACGTTGCAAGAACGCACCGAGGATTTCCCAAACCGAGTCCACGAACGAAAGTCTCGTTGCTCGCAGCACTCGTTCCCTCGTTGTTCTACCTGCATCATAGGTAATAAATGAATACGTCTTCGACATCCATTCCAGTCGAGTCCATGCTCCCTGTCGTGTCCCTAATACTCCTCTAGCTTTTCCTGTCGTCCCTGATGTGAAAAGCACATACAATGGCGCTACAAAGTCTTGACCGACTCTCAGTTTTCTTTGCCACTTCCAATTACCTTCTGCTTGAAAGTAGTTGCTCGGGAGCGCAACTACTTGCACAGATTGAAAAGGACTCATCGTAGAGTCAAGTGTCCATGACTTGATGGTTGCCACCTTCGGATCCTCATCCACTACCAGAGCTTTGACCAGTTCACTCCTTACTGTCGTCACAAGACGTCGTACTCCTGCACTTTGCAACAACGAAAGTTGTCTAGCAATTGGAAGCTGTATATCTACCGGCACATACGTCCAATGTCTCTGCTCTGCCATCAATAGCATTGTCGCTGTCTCTTCAATCGAAAACGGCATCAAGTTGATTGCTACCACCCCTTCGTCCGCTCCACCGTCAAGACACAACACTTCTCGCAATTCCTGTTGCCATTGATATACTTGCCTATATGAAACGTCCACCTTGTCTTGATCATTTCTTTGTATCAATGCCACGTCGTCACTCTGCGCATCCTCTGTCCTTAACTTTTCCAAGGCGTGACACAACGCCATTCCTTGTCGCACGTAATTCCAGAGCTCCACCCTATCCACTTACAAACATCAAGTATGCACATGTCACATACACTACTCAGGTCTCAAGGTCTTGAAGAATTCCACGAGATATCATGCCTCAAACCAACGAGGAGCTCCCCTTAGTAAATGCTTCCCTTCAGCAGCAGCTTTCAAGCTATCACGAGCGTCAACGTACACGTCAGCAACATCATCACCGCGCTAGGACTGTAGGACGTGCTGCCGTGGGTTTTCTAGCTGCCTCGCTGCTCACGCTACTGCTCGTCACCCTGTCGTGGCCAGCACAGCACAATGAACGGGCATTGGAGCTGCATACGCTATTGGACGCGTACGAACACGCCAAAAACTTTTCGGGTGTTGTGCGTTTAAGTCGCAATGGAGAGAAGCAATTGCAACAGGCCATGGGGTTAGCCAATGTGCCATTCAAACAGCCAATGGAGGAGCATAGTGTCTTCCCCATGGGGGCACACATGCAACTACTTATAGCAGTAGCATTGCATCAGTTACAGGAGAAAGGACTTGTAGACCTTACGAGGTCGGTGAGTGAGCATTGGACCGAAGAAGACTGGCTGGCATTTCAGCTCGAGACGAATCGGACGACGTGGTGTCCGACACTTGAGACGGAATCGGACTGTCAAGTCGTGACATTCGACCACTTGTTGTACATGGGGTCAGGAATTGGTAGTGAAGATACGGATATGCTGGAAACCATGGGAGCTTATGGTGTACAGATTGGGACGTTTCTTGACAAACCACTGGCGTTTAAACCAGGGACAAACTACAAGTTTTCCAATGAGAACTACGTCTTGTTGGCGTACATGGTGGAAAAGCTGAGTCAATTGACCATGCAAGAGTACTTACAGCAGCACATTTTTCAACCTTTGGGCTTGACACTCACGACGTTTGACCCATTTCATGGAGCTATTGATGTTCGCCATGCTCAGGTGGACCAGTACGTGCAATTCTACGCTCCTCGTCAGCTAAATGGCAGTGATATCGCTGTCAATAGCAACAGTAACAGCTCAAGTAGATCAAAGGTTGTCGATGAGAAACACTTGCATCACATGAGCACTGGATCCTGCGCTATCTACGAGGGACGTGTGAATCGTCTCGATGGACTCTTATCCACTGGAAAAGATATGCACAAGCTCTACACTGACCTCTTTCACGAACAAGGTCATCATTCAAAGCTGCTCCAGGCACATTCAATTGCGCAGATCGTGCAGACTCGAAACCCGGCATACCCGGCTTTTGGACAGGGTATTGGTGTCGACTACAAGGAGCAGCCGAAAGGAGCAGTCAAGACGAGCAAGTGGCCTACTAAGATCACGTTTTGTGGCAGTACCGCTTGCTCTACGACGTGCATGGCAATGCAAATTCCTCTTGCTAATCTATCGATTGTTGCCAGTGCATTTACCAACAATGTGCGTCTGTATTTTTCAAGTATCGACGCGTTTGATGCGTACAAACCACGAAAGTTTTTCAAGATGGAAAAAGCGAATGCAATGGAGAAAAAGGACGACGAAGTGAATACATTTGCATGGAGTTTGCTACAGGTGTTTCTACGATTTTACACGGCATCGGACGACTAATTCCTGAGAATGGCGCTACTCGAAGACATGTCAGTTTTATTCCTACATTTGCAGCATTTTAAGCAAAGAGTTGACTGGTTTTAGGCTTAAAATGCATGTCTTTTACTCGAGCAACATTCAGTCCTAGAAGCTCGGCTTTTTTTTCGTCACAAAACCCTAAGCGCGGATCTTTTTTATTAGTAAAAGATCTGTTTATTATGTACTGATATAAGATCTGTTTATTATGTACTGATATAAGCAATATTATAGGATATATATTATGAAAATAAGTACATACGAATAAAGCACTTTAATCGCAGCATTAATTAAGGTGTTAGCGTCATGTCGGCACTACGTCTCGTGTGTGCGTCCTGCAGCATTGTTGACGTCGGTCCATCGTGTGCCAAGTGTGCGCAAAAGCTTAGGACACCCACTGCCTTTGACTGTGCGAAACTCGGGCTACTTCCGGAGCTGCAAGATCTAATAAAGCAGGTCAAAGTAAAAGCATAAAAGCAGTATATCGTCATGTTATAACGGTTTTATTATTTTTAACATTTATGTAGAACCCGACTTTTGACGTGAATACTGTCGACGAAAATCAAGCAACGCTTTTACATCATGCAGCAATCAGTGGTAAAATGGGTGTGCTGGAGTACGTTTAGATGTTAAAACACATTTATACGTGAAATGGTTTTAACAGTTTAAACGGTTATATGGGCGTTTTTTTAGGTTTTTACTTGGAGAGAACGAACTGCGAGCTAACGTACAAATAGAAGCTCTTGGAGGAACTATGCAGACGACACCACTGTACTGGGCAGTTTCTTATAACCAAATCTATGCGGTAGAATTGCTTTTACGAAACGGGGCCGACCCAAATTTCAGCGATGAAATGGGTTTTACGCCGTTTTTACTAGCAATTCAACGCTGTTTCCCCATAACCGCAGCATATTTAATAGCCAAGGGCACTGATGTGAATCAACGCGTACAAGGTGCGTGCAAAGAGGAGTTTTATTTTTATGTTGATATTAACGCTTTTACTTTATTATTTCGGTGATTTTATGTTCTATTAAAGCAGATAAAAGTCAAATAACGGCGTTAATGCTGCTTTGTCAGCCGCAACAATTTCACTTGGATACATTTCGAATGGTCTTAAGTCTTCAAGCTATTGTGGATGCACAGGACATTGATGGCAATACTGGTATCATCTTTTTTTTCGTGATGATTTTTTGTTTGTTCCAGTTGACAAGGAATTCTGTGTATTGCTAACGTGTTTGATGTACAAATGTATTGTGTGTCGCAGCCCTTCATCATGCGGCCATGAATAATATTGCTATGGCTGTGCGGATGCTACTTGATGTAAGAGCCGATACAAATATTGTGAATAAGAAGGGTTTGACGGCCTTGGAAATTGCAACTTTGAGACTTCGGCCAGATTCGTCAGTGCGTCATCTTCTTAAGGAAGATGAACAGCTGCAGCATCTTTCACGATGGACTTCGATTCCGGTACGTAGGTTGCCATTAGTTGATGTTCAAGTACAAGCTAATTTGCGGTTTATGGCAGAAACAAACTCTTGAGGACAACCTGTACAAGCTCGCATTTTTCGTACCATGGGTGGTGTTTCCTCTTGCATGCTACGTGGTAGTAGCCGTAAATGGGTGGCGTTTAATCATGCTATCGCTTTCCGTTCTATTGGTCGGAGCGATACTGGTGCTTAAATTGCTACAGCGTGGCTCCTACGGTGACAAACGCAAGGCAGCACCATTGATGTTCGGGATCAACGTCGCATCCATTGGATATCTTGTTGCCAGTTTTCCTCAATTCAGTGGCTACAGCAGCACTGCATTTTGCACATTTGCAACTTTCTCGTTTGCTGTGATTGGGGTCACATTGTACAAAACAGCTACTTCGGACCCGGGCGAGGTGTTCACATCTTACGATGAGAAGCTGCATGCAAGTTAATTTGTGCGGTTGTGTTTCCCACCTGGAAGGCACTAGCTAATCGGATGTTACATGTCCTCTGTTTAATTCCTGCTTGTACTTGTAGAATATCCGCTGCCTGGTCGAGTCAAAGCTGCCGAGCGCAACTAAATTGTGTCTCACATGTTTGCACAAGAGACCGCTTCGTGGGAAGCATTGCGCCGAGCTCAATTCGTGCATTGCCAAGTTTGATCACTATTGCCCTTTTGTGGTAAATGCTATTGGCGCACAGAACCATGCAGCCTTCTTGGGGTTCCTCTTTTCGGCCGTGCTTTCAATCGGGCTGGAGCTGATAGCTTGCATGCGCTTTGCACGCGCGCAACCGAAGCTTGTGGGAGACTTCACAGTTCAGTGGCAAGTGTGGAATTGGAAGTGGTCTTTGTGGAATTTACTCTTGGGCACAAGCAACACTGCCACCAATACACCCCCTGGCTTGATTGACTGGCTTTGGAGCGTCGCACATTTTGAACCAGTACTGTTTTGTGTCATGCTTCTGGACGTCGTGCAGATTGTATGGATCGCCTACATGCTTCTTTTCCACCTCTACTTGATGTGCGCGGCCCTTACGACAAATGAGGTTGTGAAGAATGAAAATCTCAATCGTGCGTATTCTCGAGGCATTTTGTGCAACGTGGTGGACTTCCTCGGCCTGCCGGGTCACCGATCAGTGGATTGGCGTCGCGTGTATAATCTGGAGGAGTTTGATGGCCAAATTGCATCATGTGCTCTATTATCAGACCAAATACGCAAGAACATATGAACCTGTTGCTAAGCTACCAGGAGTCCAGCATGCAGAATCAATGTTTCTCTAGCAAAGTTATGACCTTTTGCATCGCACAAACCATTGATTACCCGATACGTTCAAGACAGCGCAGGCGTGCACTACGCGAGCGTGAGTTGGTCGCAACCTCTTCAGCACTAGCCTTGGTAGCTTTTCGCCGTTGTAGGCGGAAGCGCTTTTTGCTGAGTGGATTGGCGTCTTCCTCTGATTCAACCTCGTCTTCATCGTCGCTGTCTTCATCATCCCACTCATCATCTTCATCCTCATCCGCTTCAATCCTGCCGTGCTTGTCCTAGCATGCACCAAAACAGACATCAGCAAGAAGAGCACATGGACGACATCCTGTACCATGCTACGTACCAGTTCACGAAAGAAATCCTTAATCGGTCGATCCTCTAACGAATGGAACGCAATTGTCACTAGCATACCACACTTATTGTTAGTCCCCAATCCAGCTATTGTCCAGAGCGCAACAGCATCGTACCGAGTCGTCCATTTGGAGCTAAGTGGTTCACAAGTTTCTTGACGCCACTTTCCACGTGATTGAGCTCGTCGTTCACGTGAATCCGCAATGCTTGAAAACAACGTGTAGCTGGATGTGTACTTCCAGCTTTGCTAGCACGATTGCCCTTCTTCTTCTTCTTCTTGTTCTTGCCCTTCTTCACGGACTTCCACATATTAGCAATGCGTTCAATGGATTCACGTAAATCCCTAGTTGTCTCAAACACTTTGCCTCGTTCCTCGCGTTCACGTACAATTGCTTTGGCAAACTCCTTTGCCAGTTTCTCCTCTCCAAAGTCCCTGAAAATCTTTGTCAGCTGGACTTCAGACAACGTATTCACTGCATTTGCTGCCGTTTGAGCTTGTGCATCTTGCTGATTGAACCTCATGTCCAATGGTCCGTCATGAAGCACACTAAACCCACGTCTTGCCGTATCAAAATGAAAGCTATTGGCTCCCAAATCAACCAATATTCCATCCACTTCCTTCGGGAACCCAGCCATTTTCAAGTGCATCTCTAAGTCATTGTACGATCCATTGGAAAACCTCACGCGGTCCTGGAAGTCAGCCAAATTGGTTTGAGCAATCCTTAAAACTTCAGGATCTCGGTCCACACAAAGCAATTTCACGTCGGGAAAGTGTTGTAACATGGCTCGTGAGTGACCTCCAAAGCCTGCAGTACCATCTACGAAATGACGAGGTCCACCAGTATCGAAACGCTTTCGTGAAAACGCAGCGAGAGTCTCACGTAGCAGAACGGGGACGTGAACGGGACAATCAAAGCCATCTCTTTCTCCACAATTGGTACTAACGTTTGCACAAGGTACAACAGCACGTGATAACGACCAAGAAAAGACGTGACGCGAAGGCTGCAGAATAAAGTGAGGAACGTGACGCCACATTGTCGTCGGTTTGTTTGCAGCGACAGCCAGTCGTTTTGGTCTCCGTTATTACTTTTGAAAGGGGATATATGAGTGACAGATGGTTCTCCTCGGTGGTCGTAACTTGGTCCGACGTTCAACAACAAGATACTTTTTTGTGACATTGGCGGACGTTCCTTTGCTCGTCGACGCGATATTTCGCTCAACTCATTGCGAATCGGTAGTTAATGTCGAAGCCGGTGGGGCCATCCACTTGGCGTAGATACTTTGGGAGCCTTGAGCACCTTCCATGAGCTCTAATGCTTCCTCACGAGTCAAATTGCGTGGCAGCTCATCTTCACGCCAAAGGAACGAACGCGGTTTTCGACGTGCATTGATCTCACGTGTGAGATCGTTGAGTTCGCGCACTCGATCGGTCGAGTTCGAACAGAGACGCATCACGCGCGACTTGCCATCATGCGATCGCTCAGAGCTCACCACGCCATTTTCGACCAAGAAATCCAGCGATTGCTTGATACTCTCACTGCACAGCGCTTCGGCGTGGAAGAGTTGCTGACGAAGGAATAGCTCTTTTGCTAACACCTGTACGCGTCGCACAACATCGCAATCAGTGTGCTCAACATCGTCACCCTCATCGGTAGGAAGAAGGCACCAGAGACCCTGGGTGGTAAGCCACAATGAGTCCATAAAGGACCAGTTTAGCGACAAAACGAAGCTCGTGAGCTTTCCGGTATTCCAGCGATTCACATCGATGAGCACTGTGTCTGAAGACGCGTCAACGTCACACGCGGTAGCCTCAGCAAGGAATCGGGTGAAGCGGGCTTGGATGTCGATAGCTTCGTGGCGACATATATGGCGCAAAAAGTGCCAGATCTTCTGTGCCTGCTGCTGCACTGCCCAAATGTCCACTTTGTGTTGAGTCGAATGGTCTTCTTTGCAGTTAGAACGCTGGCGCAGAGCAGCATCCAGAGCACCAATCACGGCCATCTCCGGCAGGAAGATGTGTAGCAGGTGATTCCGGTAAAATCCCAACTCGAGTGCTCGCACCGGGTACTGCAGTTGAGGATCAACAACGCAGTTGAATTTCGTATCTACCTTTAAGATCAATAGCGCATGAGCAGCTATATTGTTGTTTTCCACATGAGCTACAGTCGCACCGCGTTTCTCTAGTTCTTCAACGAGCCACACGGTGCGAGTCTCCAGAATTTTCTCAGTCACATATGCGCGCTTCCACATGAGCAGCGCAGACACAATTGCAGTCGAGGTGATGGTGCCTGAGGTTTGCATACGCTCGGCCACGAGCTCGGACGAATCCTGAAGCGATGAAGTCTCGGTCAAAGACACTGGCTCACCAAAACGTACGTACGAGTGACCGAGTCTCAGGAAGAACATGTCCCGAACTGAACGGAACAAGACGGCAAGGCTCTCTTTTTCCTTGGGTTTGCCCAATAGCTGATTCGCGTATCCATCGACCTCGTACACTTTGTCGTAGTCCAGCGAGATCGGAACGACCAAAACCGTCTTCTTCGTGCTCACGTCATTTTCGACGGCATCATCGTTCAATGCAGAGCGCGGCCCCCCTTTCACATAATTCAGGAACATTGACATGAAACCCAAGCGGGGCTTACATACACGGCCATGACGCGATCGGCCACCCTCAACGAACACCTCGACGGGGTTTCCATCCTGCAAAAGCTCGTGCACATACTGCTCCAACACCTCCTTGTAGAGATGGTCGTTCCGGAACGATCGGCGGATGAAAAAACTACCGTTAGCACGCAGGAAGGAGCCCACAAGCGGTAAGTCCAAGTTGTTACCTGCAGCAATGCGCGGCAGCGGGATGCCATACGCAAAGCACAAGTAGCTGAGGATCAAGTAGTCCAAGTGACTCTTGTGCGTAGGTGCAAACACAACACTAACGTCGCCTTCAGAAGCCTCCAGCACACGACGAACGCGATGGAGCGACTCCAAGTCTACATGAAGTCCGTGAAAGAGCAGACGCCATGTCTTGGTCAACAGCCAGCCCAAACATCGCACAGCCGGCATAACCATATCGGACTTGAGACTTTCAAAAATGCATTTGATCCGTTCACAGTCCGCACGAGTAAGCTCCTTGCCGTCCTGCTTTGCTGCTGTTTCTTTGATCCGATCAATGAGATTCCGACAGTGCGTGTCCACCGACGATGGTGGTCGACCCAGCAAATTCACTCCAACTCCTGATCGAGCAATAAAGACGAAATCCAGTAGCGCTAATCGTACGTCCATCAATTGCTGCAATAGACTTGGCTGCTGTTTCCTCCATCCACTTGAACTCGTCGTTTCTGCACCTCGTTGCTCCATAGACGCCAACAACCACGACGACTCCATGACGTTTACAAATCCATGCTCTCGTTTATCCATCCCTTGTTTATCTTCATTAAACAGCATCAAATGCTCATTATTATCCTCTACTGGTCCATTTAACTCTTTCTCGATCCTTCTCTTCTCCATCCTCTCTTTCTCTAGCTCGTTCTTCTTCTCCTCATGGCTTTTCACCACTTTTTCATCCACATTTTTCCTTGTTCTCCAATTTATTTCCAAAGAACGAGAACAATTCTCTTTTTCCGTATAAATTTCTACAGGTGGAAACTGAAAAGGCACTTTTGTATCGTGTTTCATCGGCTCCATCAGCTCCAGTTCCTTCTCCTTTTTACAAGCTTTTACAGCCACAATAAATGCCAAACTAGACGACGTTAGTACACGTCCATGAGCTTTGATTGTCTCTTCTTGTGATTGCGTCACGTCCGTTTTTTTTAAGAGTAAACAAACTTTTTCCTGATACTTCTGATACCGTAATTGAAATCTCATGGCTGCTCCATTGGGTGGGATTAAAAAAGGACGTAAAGGAAGAGGTACTTTTAATCCAATGGAATCAGATGGACGATGATACCATTCATCAATACGTGAGTGATGGTGATACGGCATGTGCTTCTTCCCCTTAAACATTAGAGAATATATACTATAGTTATTTCTGATTCCGTAGTGAGTGGAGGATGGATAGATGAGAAGAGTGAGTTTGAAAGGAGGAGAAGGTACTGATTTAAGGTATTTATAAAACGATATATATATATAACGACGTAATTTTTCATTCGTACTAGCGTGTTTCTAACAAGTATATATTTCAAATAGAAATATATACGTCGCCCTGTTTCTGTTCTAATTTAGAATTCTGAGTCATACATACTTTAATAGAGCGCTGTCATAATTATTTTTTAGTAATCCCTCGGTCCGTCCTTTTGTTGCTGCTGCAGAATCATGTTGCGTCTATTGGGTCTATTTGCAGCCTCGTCCATTCCTCTGACCACATCCTCTTGTTTGTCCTGTGATGTACCGGAAGCTGAGGCGCTAAGCTTTTGCTCTGTCTTCGTTACATATTCGGCCTGTCGCTCGGGTAGTTCTTGGAAAGAAATGGTTTGGAACTTAAAATAGAATTTAGAAATATGTAATTTTTAGAAGAATTCTTTTTTGAAAATGACTAAACGATTAATTTGTTTTAATTCGTTTAAATGAATATAGGATACGATTGCGAAGAAACAGTATGATCACGTGGTAAACAAGACCAAAAATATCGACAGTTATTGTGAGACAACACTAAAAAGGACTCAATGTCTTGGAGTCTTTAATGTCTGTGAAATGGGAACACCTGAGACTTTATGTCTCAATAGCTGTACACAAGCAATCGAAATGGACTGCACCTCGACGTTAATACTGGAAACTGTACAGGAAGCAGCTTGTGGTAATGAAAAGGAGCCACTAAAAGGTGTGAGTGACCAAGGAAAATGTTTTGATGTGGATGATACTGGACCGGAAAAAACCATTTGGGTCATTGGATTCAGTATTGCAGTGGTCTTTTCTTTTCTAGCAAGTGTCGGTATCAATTTGCAAAAGAAGGCGTTGAAGCAGAACGAGCTCGTGGCCAAACCAAAACCAGCGTATCGATTACCGTTGTGGACGCTCGGATTCGTGCTTTGTGTGGTCGGGTCCGTATTGGACTTTGTAGCTTTTGGGCTGGCACCGCAGAGTTTATTGGCCCCATTGGCAGCGTTGACGCTCGTGTGGAATATGGTACTTGCACCCTGTTTCAACAAAGAAAAACTCAGCAAGAAAGATATCATGTCGACGTTGATTATTTTTGCGGGAGCTACCATTTCGGTCGTCTTTGCGTCCCACACGTCTCCGTCATACAACCTCGACATGCTCATGCAACTATACAAAGACCCAGTCACCATCATCTACTTTTGCGTGGTCTTTCTAGCGATAGTTGCCAACTTTGTGGCTATCAAGATTGTTGATGGATTATGCTTGATGAGCAGACGACACCGGATTATTCAAGTAGGCACACCAGCCAGATGGGCGACTATACGTCTTGTTGGCTATGCTGGTCTCGCTGGCATCTTAGGAGGCCAGTCAGTGCTCTTTGCCAAGTCGTTGGCTGAGCTGCTGAAGGGCGTATTGCACGGCGATGCCAGCTGCTTCGGGCATTATCAGTCGTACCTCATTGCGCTGGCACTGATTGTGTGTCTATGTCTGCAGATCAAGTATTTGAATGGTGGGTTGGTTCATTACGATGCACTGTCGATGGTTCCCATCTATCAAGCCTACTGGGTTATTAGCGGCGTGCTTGGCGGTGTTATCTACTTCCAGGAGATTCGCACTTTCTCGGTCTTGCAAGTAGTCATGTTTGTACTGGGAATCGCCATTAGCATTTTTGGCGTCATTCTTCTCTCGCGTCGCAAACACGCCCCATCAACTGTAACCAGCAAGGGCGAGATAGAACGTGGTTTTAGCTTTACAATGTTATTAGAGCCCCCGAAGGGCTTGGATTCAACCTCATCACGCGTCTCCGATGGCGTCTCTGCCGATGCTGCTGTTGTGGAGCAGGAAGAAACAAGACGTACGAATACCTCCCGGGATATGCTCTCGTACATCATTGAAGCTCTAAATGAAGAAAGCGCAACCGATTCGGACGGCGACGATAGCGGTCGTGACCGGCGCAGTGGAAACGAAGTTTCAACACACGTTAATCGCCAGGCAATTGACAATTATCTGGACATGTCCACGACTGTGGGTCTATCAGAATTTCTAGGCAGTTTGGGCTTTCAGCGCTCGCAAGAGAGCAGACGCATGTCAAGTCGGTGAGTATATTTGCCTTGGTATTTTATATGACTAAACCAACTGACGTGAGTATTGATGTTGTTCATGGTTGACAGCCCCTCACGACGACCGATTTGTCGAAGCGTTGACGATATTGAGGTGGGATTACCAGCTACTACACGTGACGCCATTTCACGCGAGTTGATATTCAAACCAGTATCGAATGTGAGACCTGCTTCATTAAGGGACAAGAAGGATAAGGATGCATCACCTAGGAATTCGATCTAGTGTCCTCCTCAGCTTTGATCTCACATATCTGTAAGTTCTATGGAATAAAACCATATTGAATAAATGGACAAATGGTTTTACTTTGGTTAAAAGGGCTCGTTAAAACTCGTTTTATACCGTAATGACGTGTTTTGTCTTGTTTTTTGTATCCACTTACTACATTTACAAACATGTTGTGTAAATTTCATTCGGTTGCAAAAACATTCGTCTAGTCGTATGTGTAATATATATACAGTGTGCAAGATCGTCAATTGTTGTTTATTTTAAGCAATTTTATCCCAGCTGATAGCTATTTTGATAATGTGTTGCATCCCAGCTGGCAAATACCTTCATTGATTGCAGCACATCATACTGAAAACCTGTATGATTGTAGCTTTTATAAATAGCGTCATCATTCATAAACAGGAATAGATCTGCCGTAATTATACGTCCTTTCACAATCGAACAACAATCTATACTCCCTCATCAAGTCAGAAATTGCCAGACGAGCCAAGTCTTCTGGCTCTTAGAAATTGCAAGACAAGCCAAATATGATTGGTTAAAAGACGTTCTACATTCTAATTGTCGCAACCCTGTCGGTCACCTTGCTATAACAATAGATTCACCAGAGACCATTTTACCCGTCACTTAACCAGTCAATTTCTAATTCTACCAAATTTTCAGTCCATAGATAATACGTACTACCATGGGATCAGCAGGACGCGAGCATCAACCTCTTTTACCTTCTTACTCTCCCTGTGGAGCCCATACACGTCCTTTTAATCACCCACTTGAATCTCCTTCATGGCCTGCGACTTTTGAAGAAGGACTTGAAGCTCGGTAATGTCACTGCTTAGAATCACTTGAATTCTATCGTATACTCTACTAATTCCTTTTTTGGTGTTTTATATACTACATTGTAGAATGGCATCGCCCATGTCCGTGACTCCACGTCTTCTTTCTTTCCAGAGCAGTCCACACAATGAGAGACAGAGATTTCTACATCAACAGCAGCAGAGAGAAGGATTCTTATCTCCAGTGAGCAGTGGTGGCGTCATTTCTACTCAAGGCACTAGCAGCTTTAAAGACGCTGTGTTTAATGCCATTAATGTGCTATTGGGTGTGGGTGTACTCTCCAGTCCCTTTTCATTACGTTCTAGTGGGTGGCTCATTGGTATGCCACTTCTCCTTTTCTTCACTCTCGTGACAAATCATACGGCCAAATTGCTGGGCAAGTGTCTGGACTACCAGGAAGGCATGACAACGTATCCGGACATCGGAGAAGCAGCTTTTGGCACTCGAGGACGAGTGATCATTGGAATCACGTTCTTTGCCGAGCTCTTTACGGCTTGTGCAATGTTTTACGTGCTTAGTACGTTGAGCTTCTTTTTTGTGTAGGATGGCAAGGTCTAAGACGTTTTTTTTGCTTTGATGTTGTGCAGTTGGTGATACGTTAGCGGCCTTGATTCCGTCATTTACGGAGACACAGTTGACGGTTATGGCGTTTTTACTTATTATGCCGTCCGTCTGGACAACACGTATGTCCATGTTGTCGAATCTTAGCATTTTGGGCATATTCTCGTCCTTCTTCTGCCTCTACACTATTTTTTACGTCGGGTTTGCGATAGACACCAAAGCACCTGGATATGAAATGGGTAGTTTGTTGCACCCGCAGCCTCTGCAAATGATAGGGGACGTCGATCGTATTCCGCTTGCCATTGGACTCACGATGGTGGCGTTTGGTGGTCACTCGGTCTTTCCATCCATTTGCAGCTCCATGGCGAACAAGAAGGACTATCCGCGTATGCTCGACTTATCGTACGTGATTGTGGGGATCGTGTATGCCTCGATCGAGCTAGCTGGCTATCTCATGTACGGCGTTGCTACTCAGAAAGAGATCACGCTCAATTTGATTGCGACGTATCCGGGGATACTCACACAGATGGTGGTTTGGACAATCGCGCTCAACCCTATGAGCAAGATCGCAATAACGCTGCATCCGATTGCGCTGGCGCTGGAAGAGTTTTTGCTTTCGCCGAGCCAGAAGCGTGCTGCTGCACGAAACAAAGCAAGCAAGACCCTCGTGTTCTATCGAGCCTTCATCCGTACGATACTTGGCATCACTGCATTGTGCTGTGCGCTTTTTGTGCCCCACTTTGCCCGTGTCACATCATTTCTCGGGGCTTTCTTTGCGATGCTGGTCTCCGTGTTCTTGCCGTGCATCTGCTATCTCAAGCTCTTTTCTTGCAGCTTGTCAAAGGGCGAGATTGCGTTCAATGCGGGACTGGCTGGACTTTCCCTCATCTTGATGGTTTTTGGCACCCTCGCGTCATTCTTGTCTCCCACAAATTAGAGAGACGAACCTCAGTGGACTTTTACTGCTGGCAAATTGATGATATCAAGTGGCTGCTGCTCTCAACGACCAAGTGTGACCAGTGCATTAGTTCAAGAAATTGTGGAGACAGCGGTGGTACATTCTAAACCATCATGCTCGATTACCTTCTTTTGCCTTATTTGAATGAGCAGCACATACTTTTAGACGTATTTTTTGCCATCTTCATCGTTGACTGCTACAATTTCGATTGCATGAATGCATCTCGTTAGCTATGCGCTGCTATGTTTATGTTAGTTGTCATTATGTGGACTAAAAGCTACAACATTTGCATTTCCATACAGATTTTAGCCGGTTTTACTGATAAATGTTCAAACGATGTAGCTATAAAACTTGGAACGGGAATGGGTTTTATGTTTTTTTAACAATGGTAGTATTATTGTTGTTACGTTTAAACCAATGATATTTTACTTACCACTAAACTCCAGTAAAAAATGACTCGTGGTCCGAATATTCTCGTAACTGGTACCCCTGGCACGGGCAAGACGTCCATGTGCCAGCAGCTTACGGTGCGTTTTTCCTAGCACCTTTATACGACCATCTAGTCCAATGTCTTGCACATCTTGTCACACCTTTTTGACCTTCTACCGTTGCCTACAACGTCTGAAATTCCCTTAGGAACGTTCGCAATTCCTTTCGCATTTGAATGTCGGCGATTTGGTATGTTTTACTTTCTTTCTAGAAGGAGTTCATTGCCTACGATAACCTTTTGAAATGAGGTTAATGACTGTTGTACTTACTGCAATGTGGGGTCGCTGTAGGTGAAGGAACGCGGGTTACATCGTGGTCGCGACGAAGAGTTCGACTGTTTCGTGCTGGATGAGGATAAAGTCTGTGATGAGATGGAGGACTTGATGGCTGAAGGTGGTAAACTGGTGGACTTTCACACGTGTGACTTCTTCCCTGAGCGCTGGTTTGACCTTGTGGTCGTGCTGCGTGTGGACAATACGACGCTGTTTGACCGGTTGCAGAAGCGTGGGTACTCGGACAAGAAAATTGCTGAAAACGTCGAGTGTGAGATCATGGAAGTGGTACTGCAAGAAGCTCGTGAAAGTTACGCGCAAGAGATTGTGCAGGAGCTACCTAGTCGAACGGTGGAGGACATGGATAGCAACATTGAACGTGTGCTCATGTGGGTGCAGCACTGGATGACGCAGCAAGCGGAGAGCTAATTTACAGACAAGGTGCTAGATACATGAAAGGTTGATGAAACAAATATTGCATAATGGAATGATAGAGAACAAAGTCGCAAGATGTATGTTCAGCTCGCTAGGTTTCGTTTATATATATGTCAATACATATATATATGTATTGACAAGGCTAGAGAGATTCAACAGCATCATTCATAAACTAGCATTCAGTATACCATTTGTTACTACAACACATTGGCTACAACAATACCTGCGAACTAGCCTCAATGTATGACACGCAAAGCGACAGACACGAACCTCTTGACGCTGTCTAAACCAACATTATTGAGACGTGTTTACGTTGTCGACTTCTCTGCCTGTAATTTTGCAAAGTCCTGCTTAATGAAGGCGAGCGCCTGTGCCACATCCTCCACAACTTCATACGCCGGATGCTCATCATGATTATTTGGTCCACTATGCATGCCTGTCAACGTAAGCAACGACTTCCATCTGCCACCAGCCTCATTAGCGCCATGAATGTCCGTCTTCGGGTTGTCTCCCACCATATAAATGCGTTCAACATCTTCACGTTGCGCGTCAATGAGCGTCTCAGCAAACTCAAATGATGTGCGTTGTGGTTTACCAAACAGCGTCTTTTCCAATGTGTGTCCCGTCGTGTGTGTAAATAGATTTTCCAACATGGCATGAAAAGCTCCAGCACCATATCGGGGAAGATGGAACTCACCCACATATTGAAAGTCCGAGCACGCCGAGTACAAAGGAATATGTTGACGATCTCCTTTACCATCTCCTTCAACCGTTCGTCGTCCCAAAAGTCCATTGGGTGCGCATAACACATCCATCACAATCTGTAGCTCTCGACCCCAATAAATGGGATCAATGAGCACAAAGACCGCCGCAAATGGCTGCGAGTCAAAGCGTCCATCATGGACCAGCAAATCAGTCACTTTAACGTCTGGGTACATGGTTGGAAAATGTCGATGCAATTGATCGACCGTCACAACGTGTTTAAAGCCGTACTTCGCCATCACTTGTCTCAACTCGGCACAATCTTTACCTACTGCCAGCACCAGTTCGTCACCATGTTTCGCTACGAGCTCCCGCATTGGCGTATGACTCATGCACATGAGTTCAGTAGGAATGGAGACCCCATGACCCAGTATCTGTTCCAATTGACGCGCCTTTTTCTCCTCACTGTAGCCACCACCATTCGTCATAATGGCATACGGAATGTTGGTCGCTTGTAACTCGAGTAGCACATCTCGAGCCCCAGGAAGTGGCGATTTGCCACGTAATAACACACCATCCACATCAAATACAATTCCAAAGGTCGAGGAGAAGCGAATGTGGGTCGATAAAGTATTACGACGAGAGCGGATGACTGCAGACAGGACGTTCATGTTCACTGGTGACGACGCGTGAGCGGTGTAAATGTGATGTGGTCGGTCGTGGGAGCCATGCGGTGTTGCGTGAAGGTCGCACATTGCGCAAACTTGCTAGTCACTCGTCCATCCTCTACCCCACTCCTCTATCTCTACCTCTCATTTTACAATTTACTCTCTAGTACCCATTGCGTCTCTTATTCACAAATAAAATGACGTCTCTCTCGACTTCTTCTTCTTTGACCTCTTCATGTCGACCACTTACTTTACCAGAAAAGATTTTAACCCATTGGGCTGTAGGTCTGACAAAACCTGAAGTATCTCCTGGTCAAATGCTTTGTGTCAAAGCACAGTGGACGCTTGCATGTGAAATTACGTGGAAGTCGATGGACAAGACGTATCAGGACATGGGACGCCCTCGTATATGGCGCAATGACCGCTTTTGGTTGGCTGTGGACCACACGGTGGATCCACGTGTTAATCATCAACCACGTCAGCAAATGATGATCAAGGCGTCCGAAGATTTTGCCAAAGAGGCACAGCTCACGAATTTCCAGCCACCCAATACGACCATCTTACACACGGAATTCTACCGCCAACGTGCGCAACCTGGTCAAATTGTAGTCGGTGCTGACTCCCACTCATGCAGTACTGGAGGGTTGGGAGCTTTTGCAATCGGTCTTGGAGCTGCAGATGTCGTCATGCCTCTTGTGACGGGAGAGACATGGATTAAAGTACCTGAGACGGTACTGATCGAGTTTGTTGGCACACCTCCTACGGGAATGGGTGGAAAGGATGTCATGCTGTATACACTGGGTCAGCTCAAGTGCAACACTGTGGCTATTGGTCGGTGTGTGGAGTGGGGTGGCAACATCTCGGCACTGTCGTGTGATGCTCGATTTGCTATTAGTAACATGACGGCTGAGTTTGGTGGGATTGCTGGTGTCTTTCCTGCTGATGAATGCACTGCTGCCTACATTTCCAAACGCCCGGATCACAACCAGGACGCACTCTACTTTCGTGCTGACAAGGATGCTCAGTACGCTGAGAAGTTCCAGATCAAACTGGACAACCTTGAACCGCAGGTGGCGTTGTTCCCATCGCCAGACAATGTCAAGCCTGTGTCAGAAGTTGTGGGCATGAAGCTCGATGGCTGCTTTATTGGTGCGTGTACTACTGCAGAGGAGGACTTGGTGCTTGGCGCTCTCGTGCTCGAGGCCTGTCTGAAACAAGGCATGAAGCCTGTGGCTCACGGCCAGCGCCGTGTGACCCCTGGTAGTCAAATTATCGTGGACAACCTAAAAAAGCATGGTTTGATCGACGTGTACGAGAAGGCTGGCTTTGTTGTTGGCGCTCCAGGCTGCAGTTTCTGCCTAGGTATTGCTGCTGATGTTGCTGGGGAGAACGAGGTGTGGCTTAGTAGTCAAAACCGTAACTACCGCAATCGTATGGGCAAGGGCTCGATTGCTAACCTTGCTTCAGCCATCACGGTTGCTGCTTCGAGTTTCACAATGGAGGTGACTGACCCCACCCCTTTCCTCAAGCTAATTGACGTCAAAAAGTTCAACTCTGCTGTGCCCAAGCGGCCAGCGGTGCCCATCACGGTTGCTGAAGTGAACCCGGAGATATTGTCTGCTTCGGCCGGAGGCGAAGGCAAAGCTGATGCGGAGGCTGCTGCTTCACTGGCGACGTTCTCTGGCTCAATCAAGGGTCGCGTTCAGGTGTTTGGTGACAACATTGACACGGACGCGATTCTTCCGGGTGAGTTCCTGTGCGAAAACGACGTCGAGGCTTTGGGTAAGGTCGCCTTCCTCCACACAAACCCGGACTTTCGTGACAAGGTGAAGCAGGGTCAAGACGTTGTTGTTGCCGGTCATGGCTTTGGCTGCGGTTCCTCGCGTGAGCAGGCCGTTACCGCTATGAAGGGCGCTGGTGTGAAAGCTCTGATTGCTCGCTCGTTCGGATACATCTTTTCGCGTAACTACCAGAACTTCAGTCTGTTGGGCATTCAGCTTGACGATGACCGCTTTTACGAACTGGCCAAGGAAAATGCTGACATTACTGTGAACATGAATGGACGCACGATTGAAGTGGGTGGAGAGACTTTTCGCTTCAATATGTCGCTATTTGAGGAACGTCTGCTTGCTGGAGGAGGTATCATGCCGCTGTACAAGAAGTTTGGCAATCGTCTTTTCCGTGTGGCAGTACAAGACCCTGTGGCCAACAAGGACAGCTGCAGCAGCAGTGGTTGCTCGACTAAGGAGGAGGTTCCTACGTCAGCAGTAGCAGGCGCGTCGAAGGATCTTTCATGGTAGGGCATCCTTGCGTTTTGTAGTTAAGGCGTCCGAATATGTTACTTGTGCATACATGCTGTTTGCGCACATGTGTGAGTCTCATGCTTTGTTTTGATAAGCCCGCTGGTAGATGATTGATAATGAGGCACGTCCCGTGACTGTGCCGACAAGGTTGCAAAGGCTATACTTTGGACAATAAGGAGCGCTGTCACCACTTCTACTTCCATATAAAATTGTCAAACACTCGAGCAAAACAACTGTCGTAGATCCATCATTATTTGGAAAGAACGGACCAGAAAGCATCCTGCGAAAGCTGCACGTTCGATACCGTTTTCATGCGACGTTTGCCTTGCTTTTGTTTGGCAAGCAGCTTTTTCTTTCGGGTGCTATCACCTCCACCAACAGTTTTGCCGGACTTGATTAGTACGTCCTTGCGGTATGGCGCAATCCGTTCCTTGGCGAATATCTTGCCACCTAATGCCGCCTGAATAGAGATTTCGTACTGCTGTCGATCAATAACACGCTTCAGCTTTTGGCATAGTGCACGGCCATCGAGCGTGGCTCGGCTTCGATGACACACAAAAGAAAGCGCATCAAGAACTTTTCCGTTAATCAACAAGTCCACCTTCACGATGTCTGACTTTTGTGACTCGACCTCGCGGTAATTGAGCGTTGCTAGAGCATCCAATAATGCACATGGTTAGATCAAGAAAATCGGTTCATACCATGATTCGAAGCAAGGAAGAAACCTACCATAGCCAGACGAGATTGTCTTGAGCTCGTTGTAAAAGTTGGTGACTACCTCCTGCCACGGCATGCTAATGGTCACAATGATACGTCCGTCCTCGAGGTAGACCAGGTTCGTCTGAACACCACGCTTCTCCTTGACAAGTGACAGCACGGGGCCCAAGTATGATGCCGGAGTGATAATCGATGCCTCTACCATTGGCTCTAGGATCTCGTAATACTTGGTTGATTCAGGAAACGCGCTCGGGGTTTCGACAGCAAATTGTTCTCCCTTTGAATCGATCACGGTGTACGGCACCATCGGCGCTGTGACCAACACCTGCATTCCCTGCTCATCAGAGAGTCGCTGATGAAACACTTCCATATGCAGAAGCCCCAAGAAACCGCAGCGGAAGCCCATGCCCAGCGCACCACTAGTTTCCTGCTGGGTCGTCACGCTTGCATCGTTAAGTGTAAGCTTCTCAATGGCAACGCGCAATTCATCAAAACTGCATTCATCAGTAGGGTACATGCTTGCAAAAACCATACTGCGAGCCTCTTGAAAACCCGGCAACGCCTTCAAATCTGCTGATGCAGCGCTTTCACGGAAGAACGTGTCTCCAACTTTGGCTTCAGTGGTAGATTTCATACCTGCGATGATATATCCCACCTGACCAGCGTATAATCCCTTCGTCTTGAATCGTCCAGGTAACAGCAAACCCGTTTCCTGAACATCATGCTTTGTTTTTTGGTGTGCACTATAGATTTTATCTCCTGGGAAAATAGCGCCATCAACGACCTTGACAAGACACACCGTTCCACGATAGTCATCGTAGTATGAGTCTACGAGCAAGCACCTGAGCGGTGCATTAGGATCACACTTCACCGGTGGTGGTAATCTGTTCACCACTGTCGGGAGCACATCTTCGATACCTTCTCCACTCTTTGCCGACGTCAAGAGCACTTCATCCGGATCCACATCCAGTAAAGACGATAGACTCAAGATACTGTCGTCTATTTCAGCATGTGGCATATCGATCTTGGTCAAGATTGGTACCACGTGTAGATTCCTCTCTTTTGCAGCATAGTAAGTTGCCAATGTCTGAGCCTGAATTCCTTGAGAGCAGTCCACTAATAGTAGCACTCCTTCACAGGCCGAGAGGGAGCGATTGACTTCGTAACTAAAGTCCACATGTCCCGGAGTATCTACCAAATTGAGCATAAAAGTTTTCCCCGTTTTTAGGTCTCGATGGACCATTGATGCCGTTTGAGCTTTGACTGTAATACCTCGTTCTCTCTCGACCTGTAAATTATCCAGAAATTGAGCACTCTCTCGTTCCTGACGTGAAATATTGCCACTAGTTTCCAGCAGTCGGTCTGCTAAGGTCTATAATAGAATTAAATTAATTTAAAAAAATATTATTTTTACATACAATAATAATAATAATTATTATTGTTTAGCTAGTCAAACGCACCGATTTACCATGATCAATATGTGCAACAATGCTAAAGTTGCGGATATATTCCGGCGTAAAGTCTTCCAGTCGCTCTGACATGTACGAACCTACGGTCCTTGGTGTAAGTACCGTATCTTCCGCGACATTTTTGAAAGCTATAGTAAGGTGACGCAAGTGCAAAGGAGACCCAAAAAGCGCGCGTACTGCTGCTCGTCGACGCAACGTAAGCATGCTTTTATCTCGTGTATTGGGTGGCTACGAACCTTACGTTGCGGTTCGAATGCGATAGAGCAACATAATTTGTATATGTCGCGGAATACTATATCAAACGCCTTGCTAATGTTGCGCTTACGACTTCAAAAATAGAGTGATAAGCAAAGTGCTGGACGTGCGAATGTAACACTTCACTTCATTATAGGGTCGATATGCTCGGCTAGGTTTACATGAAAAGCTTAAGTATCTCCGTGTTTTAGTTAAAAAGACTGCATTTGTTACCAGTGATTCAATTAATTCTACAGTATGCTATTAATTACACCTTTAGGACGACCTCACCGTCATAATGTATAATGGTTTCGTGTTACTCGAATCACTCACCCGTTCCTACGATACTCGCATCGTCTGACGTTATCATTCTTAATTACAGTATGTACTACCTGTACATGTACCAGATCAACCGACTCCTTTTGCTATATGCCACTCTTGCGCAAGCTTCCTTACTACATTTGTCCATGCCCAACTGTAGGATACACTAGTCTAGTACTACTGGCAGTGGCACGTCCGTGGAAACTTCTTTTTTTTGCGTCTGCTTGGATTATTCTGATAAGAGAGACGGACATTATAGAACAAGAGTCCATTATCCTGAGATAGGCTCCTCCCATGTTGCACTGGAAACTTCAAGACGGTGATCAAGAGTTGGCTCTAGATTCATCCAGTCAGTGGCACCAATGACGGTCGAGGTTTGCAGCAGTTTCACGTCTTAGGCTGGAGCGGTAGAGATGGGGATCAACTTGGAGTGAGGAGCCGGAGCAACCTTGAAGCGGTTCAAAGACATGTAGCAAATGGGACAACGTATACGTGAATCAGTGACCCATGTGGGTGATAAAGTCTTGCCTTGTGCTCAAATCTTTACAGGTCAATTTTTCTGACGGGAAGCAGGTTTGTAAATGTCGCGGTGTAGTGATGGACGAGCTCATCAGGCTGCAGCTCGACTGGAGCTGTTCACAGAGCTTCAATGGACAGTTTTTTTGCATGCGAAGCAGTGACACATGACTACTGTCTACAAATCTCAATTTTTTGACTGCAAAAAGACTTGTTTTTGTATTCTAAAGCTGCAGATCAAGTGTATCCTTTCACCGCGGAAAATGAAGAGACAGTCTAGATGCACTGTACATGTACGGTGATGCTTGTCAGAATCTTAAGCTCAAATGGCTTCACATCAAGGTCACCCATGTCCCTCAAGGATTGTACAAGCTACAAAAGCATGATGCCTATCAAAGTGGTAAATAATACGTGCTGTATTGTAGACGTTCATGCATTGATCAGTGAGTGTTACGTTTGGTGCATTGCCTCTTGTAAGTAGCACGGAACGTCGAACAATCAGCGGGTTTGAACACACTCATGCATGTCGCTTGATATCAGTATAAAGCTGAATGTTTTTTGTGGGCTGCGACGCTCATCCTCTTCCCGGTTTGGAAAAACATCCGGAAGATTCGGGATGAGCAAGCTGCTAATCTTGAAGTTTCAGGATCCCTACTCAGCGCGTGTGCGAAGAAAGCATTTGTTTTTCCGGAACAAGCAGCAAAGCCACGGCATTCACGTTGAAAGATATTTTGCGATGGCGCTATATGCATCCTGATCAGTTTTTCCGGTTGCGTCATTTAGGTGAATATATGTCTAAGTCGGCAATGTCGTTGGCATTGCCGACTTAGCACATATTTACCTTACGACTGAGAGGATAGTTGGTGCAGATATCGCACGTTTCACTCGTGTAGAGACTGTAGTTGCCAGCTCTTCTTTAAAGGTATCAAAGTCTCGTCAGAAAGACTTGCACTCCTTTTGACTGGATGTCCGTCATGCAGTGGCTACACGCCGAAACTGGCGGGCATGATGACCATCCAGTTCGCTCCAGGCCTTCGCAGCCGCCTAATCTTGCAGGAGGCGTTGGCAAGCAGACAGCTCAGAAAAGATCTCTTTGGCCTCTTTGTGCACAAGTGCACCCATCTATTGACCTCCGGACGAGGTTTACACATCCATAAGCTCTGCAATGGTGTAGCAAGGCCAGGTGTCTGTTGCACTGCGCAGACTGATAATTTCATGTATGCATAGTTCGAACTCCATTGGAATATTTCAAAGAGTAGAGGGAAACATGCAGGTTCCAGGAAAAGGTTCATATGATTCACGGCGCTACCAAAACTCTATATCAAGCATCGGTCTCGCTGCAGCAATCTATTTGACAAGCCACTAGCAGGGCACTGCAAGTGTCTTTTGTTGGAGAAGGAATGTTACTGACAGCCGATGCTGAGCACACACGTCCGCAGGTACCTCTATCGAGCAATCCTCATACTATGACGATGTCTAGCCTCCATAATAGCTGAAGTTGTGCCATACCAAAGCTGAATGGCCATTTAGCTTTGATATGTAGTATTAATGGGTGGTCACGAATACACTCAGCAGTGATCTATATGCTCAAAAGAGAGTACAGCAACAGCTTCTTTATCTTTAACGAACCACAGATGGTCTAAAATTCGAGACATGTAGTAGCCCAGGCGTTGTAATGCTACTACATGCCACATACCGAAGAATGCAAGTCGCCTTTGCACACCAGCTCCCTTCAACCCGGCCTGTCCACGCTTGACCTGCTGGTGCGCAGTCTTTGCAATGCCAGGTTGAGAGAGAGCGAGGGACGGGCCAAGGACTCGCTGTCTGTCTTGTGAGTCCGTCAGTCACTTGCTCGTGGCAATGGCCATCAAAAACGACAACGGAACTCGTACTCTTTGGCATTTCAAAATTCGACTCCTCTAGCACAAGAGCTCAAAGAAACAATCGATTCCCTTCATCTTTCGCATTGACAATGGTTGCCATCTCCACCTCAACGCAATCGTCCGAGTCCGTACTGGGACTGCCCAACACCCCCATCACCGATCTCAACAAGTGCCGCTACAAGACTGGCAAGTGCAACAACATACGGTCCTGCAAGCGCAACGGCCAGCAGCACCAACTTTGTCTGTACCATCGCGACAAGGCTAACAAGATTCAGCGCAAGTTTGACCGTCAGAAACGTCAAGTGGCTCGTACCAAGAAGGCTCGTGACAATCACGGAAGCCTGAGTGGCCTCTCGTCCCCAACTTCCATTTCGATGCTGGATATGGCTGCTCTCGCAGGTCTCACCACCGTCAACGAAGCTGTGTCTCCGGCTGAGTCGACCTACTCGACTTCCTCTTCCATGTCGTACTCATCAAGTGAAGTCATGTACACACCCGATTCAGTAGACTGTAGTCTCAACGAAAGCGTGTGGACGGGTCTTCCTGTTGTTACCGCTTTGTACTATGTCGAGCTCAATGACATTCCTCTGTCTACGAGCTGCCACCAGAGTTATTTGTCTTCGGACGAGATCGACTTTTTGTGTTCTGCCATCCTCGAGTAGTTCGGAGCAAACCAAGCAAACGTCTTTCTCACATTATATGAGAAGGATGTGCAGTAAAGCTTTTGTTTGAGTCGAATCCGGTTGGCAAGTGCTGCTGTCGGCTTCAACCTCTCGAGCGTACGTACATACGTAGCACATTTAGTATAAAGCATTGTATTCTTCATAATAGACTCAGTTGTATAAAGTCATCATGAAAGGGATATCTCTCTATTCGACTCTTTGCATCTTAGCTACTACTTCTCGATCAAATGACTGAAGCATCTAGCAAGCTACGGTGTGGTGAAATGCACAAAATGTTGCTAGAAGGTTTCGTGGTAGCGGCGTGTTTGGAACTAGTAGCGCTCTGGAATCTCCTCAAATGCAAACGTGCAGAGCGAACGAGGTGTCTGTCCGTCCAGCAGCCGTCGATGAGCCTGGTCACCTGCTCCATCACCAGGACAAAGACACAGGAGATTCATTGCAATTTTCATTGGACTAGCGGGATACACGTCAACGCCTCTAACTAAAAAAAGTCACCTGCTTTATCCTAAAATTCTCTGTGTATTTACGCGCTGCGTACATAGAATGTGTGGACACATGAAGACTATAATCGTATCACCCAACGTAATACATTTTTTGTTTTGTATAGCGGACGAGTTAACAATTTGATCTATTACAATCATTCACTTAAAACGGGACGGAGCTGTTGGCAAAGAATTAAGTTATCGGTTAGAGAACGACTGCGTTGCCTATAGGATATTATATTAGAGCATGATTAATTTGTACCATTTCATGACATATCACGGCGCATGTGAGATATGATTTACATCTGTCGTCATGAGAAACGATATGAGCAGGCGTGGTGCGCACGAATGGCCGGGTCACTGGTGCTTAAAAACGCACAGAGTCTGCGTCAACGTTTTAGGTGGCATACGGTTAAGTGGCAGACGTAAAAATTAACGATGACAGATGGTGATAATCACGTGGTAATTCGTACCAACTCCCAGTACCTCAGTCTTCATTTTCGCGAATAATCACATAAATTTTTCCACATTGCACGAAAATTGAAGTGGCTCTTCAAAACTTTAACACATCTGGCAAAAGCGTCACTGGACATTTCTACCACCTCACTTGGTGCTTTTTAAAGCTGCAGCCGTAGCATTTACCATTTTCTCGCCAGTGTATTCGTTTATTCGGCAGCACCACCATTAACTCATTCGATTGATCTCCGTAGAAGTATAGTTGAGCTTGGTGTTGCTGTTTCTGCTGGGCAACTTTATGGTGAGGTCTGCTTACTATAAAGGTCATGTCAAAAATAAAGACATTTGCTATATTCGTCAGCTCAAGAAGATAAAGTGACGTAGCTTATGTTGAAACATTTTACCATCTTCTTGTAAGGGTAAATTATGACCCCGTCAACGTTTGAGTATCTTTTGTATTTTACCTTGTTTTTTGGGCAATAAGCGCACGCTCTTTTGCCCTTTCCGACTACGATAGGGTGCGTACAGTCAATTAAGGCTGCAATTAGGGCTACAATTTGCAGCCCTAATTGACTGTACGCACCCTATCGTGTAGCCTGCAATGGCTCCGACTTACTTGTACGTACAATGTCGTTCCTGCCCGGCCGCGGTATTAATATCGAGTATGAAGCCAAGTATGTCCGCCCAACACAAACAGCACTTGTCAGCAAACTAAACAAACTAATATAGCAAGGTTTTAAGTCGCATCTATCTCTCAAAAGTGCTGTATATGCAGCTATGCACAATTTCAGAACGTGTCAATAGAACTCCAATTGCATGTGAGCTCAAACTCGTGCAAGACCAACAAACTTCCGGACTGCTCTTTAATACGATCCTCGCAACCGCAACAACTTTTCCTTCTCGAGCAATATGACGCTAAGTGCACGCACCACACCGGACTCGGCAATACCCATTGCAGATTTCTCGCTTCCCTTTTCGATCGCGGCTAGACTCGTATCTCTCATATGTATCGCCAAAGCCGTTAAAAATACAAGCTTTTCTTTTTGGAGTCGAATCTCCTCTTAACGTCGCCTCAATTGGGTTCCGTGCACATAGCAGCCATTTATATGGAAGTCTTATATCGTCAACTCGAGCAACGTCGTAGCCCGACAAAGCCCCTCCCATCCAAGAGATGGATTTTCTGTTGACGACACATGCGTATGGCAATCAGTGCTTTGTTTACATTCCCCTTGTGGAGTTTGGAAACAACCAACAATATCGTTAAATTACTTGACCTCTTTAGGAGCTACAGGTGTCCTGACCTTCCTTCCAGCATCGGACATTTTCTACAGGCTATAACAACAAAACACGCGGGAGCTCATGTTTCGATCATTGCAGCGCGTGATGCTGGTGCACTTTTATAGGACTCATCTTGCAGGTTTTTGCGCTTCGATCATCGTCGTTTCCATTTCTTACATCCTGCTCCAGCACCTTCTTGTCTTTCTTTCAGATCAAACACTTTCACTTCCAGCGTCGAAAAGAGTTGTCGTCGTTACTCGTACTCGTACAGCGTCACTGAGCATGGCCAGGTGAAAGTCACCCTTGAAATACGACAGTAGCTTATGCAGCTCATGATGAAGCAAGGGCGAACTGGGTGGCAGGTTGTATCGATGCACGCGCAGTCGGCGCATGAGAACATAAGATTCTTGCGTCTCGGGATCTTTCACACGTGCAATAGTGAGCAGCATGCATATATCGATGCGAAGTCCCGACTTTGGTATAGGTGGTATCCATGACGCATCACCACTCCCGACTTGGGTTTCCTGCCCTTCTCGTCGAGCTGCATCGATTGCTTCCTCGTCGTCCTCATCCACGAAATCCGTCACGATCACGGCCAAGTCGTCACTCACGAGTTTGCCGGTCCACGCTCGATTGGTATGGGCTCCGCGCATTTCGCCATCTTGCCTCTCTACGTGGGCGTAGTAGGTAGATGGCCCCATCTCGACTTCGTACTGCAGTAACATAGAAGCAGGAACAGTTAGCACACCAGCGTGACAGCGACATAACGACCACCACATCTGACGGAGGCACTATCATCAATACCTTTACTTCAAGCAACACCCCAAGACGGTGTTCGAGCTCGACCGATATGTTCTTGAGGTTGTCAACCACATGCTGAAAGATCCGCGAGATGTTAACACTGGCTGGCAACTTGCATATGAACACGTTTGACACGAGTGTGCCGCAGCCATTGCCGTCACTTTCCTCGCTTATTCCACCTTGAGTATTAAACGGGGACGAAATCGCCGTTGCTGCTGTGCTGGTCCGCGAAAACGGCAGCATATTTGACGCAAGTGGAACAAACTCGCGAGTGAAGTTTTCCACGATCTCCGGTGCAAGCCGCACACCCAACTCAAAGCGCGCTTGAAGCTGTTTCTTACGGCTTTCAAGATCCTCCCCGACCAAATGCAAGTAGCCGTGCATGCGGTCAAAAAGCTCTTGACACAATGCAGAGCTCGACCACAGTGGTGCCTCTGTGAGTCTCTGCTGTAGCGTTGAAAAGTAAAGTTGTTGTTGGAGCAGCTCGTCCTTGAGTTGACGATTGAGCTGCTCGACACGGCCCGTCACCGCTTTCTGCGTGGCTGCCGTGCAGGCCGCTAACAGCACCTCACGTTCCGGTAGCGCCTCTCTCCACTTGGCACACAGTACTGAAAACTGCTCGTCGAGTCGTTGAGCTTCACTGCGCAACTCCTTGACCTCATGCTGCAGCAGCGACCATTAAAAGTATCAACAAGGTTAGAGATATTTGTGCATTCAAATTCCAATGGAAAGATATCGCACCGAAGTAGAAATAGCGGCTTTTCGTGCCGATGTTCCGGACACATTGCGGCTACTAGTGCCGTTTTTTCTCGACCCAACCATGAACGGTTCTCGCACTTGGTCTTGTGCTGCACGTGCAGGTCTTTCCTGTCGACTTGTCGTCACCAGATTAATCAACGTCGTGTCCCAATTTGCAAAGCGGTTTCGTCGATCAAACCGTTGGACGAGTGATGATTGGCAAAATGATGACGATAGTAGGCATCGAAGGACACCGTGAGCAAAAAGCAGACCAAGCTACTCACAGCAAGTCTTTCTTAACACACAGCTGACAAAGCTTTTCGTCTTGTTGTCTGTCGCCACCAGTCGCCGCCAGTCGATATCAGTACAAAGTGTATATACCTGCAGAGATGGCGCTGGCTGCTTTTTCTTTTCAAAGAACCGCCGACGGGAAGCACGCGGTCAAATTTATCATGAGTAATGTTTCGATGTGTGGAGGGGTAGGCGGACGGATGGGATGAAGGCGTCTAAACAATCGACACGAGATTCCGGCCATCAATGTACAAAACTAGAGACAAGTTCACATCACTACAAACACACACATTATTATTCATTGTATTAATTCCTTCCCATAATTTCATGATCAAGCTTTAACTAGTCTTAAGCCTTAGCCCCTCATAACAGGCACCCTACTCCCACGACACGTTACTAACGAGGCTTAGGAATCATCAGATATGCTGCACTTCCTAAACGGTTCAAATCGACTCGTCTGCATACATTAATTCGATACTACAGTCGTAGTGATGGATTAAATCGATCGCAGCATAACTATCCGATGTAAACATTAATGGTCTTTCTACAGATTAGTTTTCGCGCAATAAGCGTCTCATCGGATGTACAGTATACAAGTGGCTTCACATACTACGGTCTCGTCTTCACCCCGTGCAGTAGTTATTCATAGGGATAGTCTGGCACTGCCGGCTCGATTGTACATGCTCATTTCCTCGTAGTCATTGCGCGATCTGCATGACGACTTGCGATTGGAAGCGGTCACAAGAATTATCATCAGATCTGTTCATTACACGCTACTTGATTGCGAGTACGACTGCTAACAAGTAAATCATGCAAAGTGGAGGGTTCCAAGGAGTTGTTTTACGTGGCGTGGTATTGTTTATGACATGCAGTATTCCCTCAAAGAAATATTCATACGCAGTCCGAACTAATCTGATGGGAATGACTGGGAGTTGAACTATGAGCAAAAACCTTTGGAAGTTACAATACTGCAACAAATGGGGCATAATCATAAAATGCTTACTATATATCTGTCGAGTATTTGTGGTTGCGAGAGATACTCAGTGGTTGTGGGACGTAATGCAGCATGCTGCGTGCTTGCTGTCTGCATGTAGACCGTAGTCTCTCTTGTTACCGTCTCTATGCAGACAGCAAGGACACAGCAATAACTCCGGCTTTCACTTCTGTTACCCAACTTTACATTAGGCATACGAAATCAAGTGTACTCTTGACTCGCAAGTAGGCTTTGCACTGTTTTTACTCTTCGTTAAGGATACGCAACCGCTCGTAACGACCAAAGGTTTGTTCTTTGTACAGTACTTTCGTAATCAAATTAATTCTTAGTGTCAGGAACAATTTCATACTGAGGAAATTTCTGTGAGAATCAAGATTCATAACTACAGGCTCGTCTTCAGTCCTTTGTTTTTATTCAAGTCTGTATACAAAACTAAGGCAAGGAGCACCCTACTATATCTCTATCAATATCAAATATTTAAGCAACATAAACATGTGAAACCAGCAGACCGACCGACTTGTTGTCGTAATATCACTTCTGGGAGATTCATGCTCTACTCCTTATCCATCGACAATAATCACGTTCGTTTTAGTTTACAACTTTCTTTCTATCCAACACTCGTCAATTGGATCAATTAAATATCCGTACGATAATATCCACTTCACGCAATATATTGTTCGATTGCTACGATGAATGCACAACGAACAAACGTCATCATCCTACCGCCATTAACTGACATGAAATTGCGTACCTGCTCCACATTTTCAAACAGTCCAGAGCTCGTCGTCAGCTCGAATCGATGCAGCATTAAGAAACGCCGTCGTCTCTCTTTCAAAGGAGACCACAGAGAGGAGCTTATGTTTTCTCTAAATAGGTCGAAATGTCCCATCCCTCGCGCAACAAAGGCTCCATCTCTCTCTGCCACGCACGAGATTCGATTACTCCGGTCCCAAGTTGCTGCAATGGAACAAGAGCTTCGCGTGTTGCAGACCAAGTGGACCACACAACTCCCTGACCCACGGACGTTTCGTTTGGCGCAACATTCGGCACGAGAAAAACATCGCGCGCTTCGAACAGAGACGGTGCAACATGAACTGCAACAGCTACTGCTCGAGCAACAATTATTGTTTGCTACATTACAGACGGCAGTATTGCGTGCACCACTTCATTCCAATGGTCATGCATTGTTCAAGGCCTTGCACTTTGATACGCACCTTGGTCGTGATTCGTATGAGCGAGAAAAAATGCTTTTCGCGCATAAAGAACGTTCTCTTGCAACATTGCCATCAATTGTCAACAAGTTTACACAGTTGGCAATTGATAAAGCTGTTGCTACAGAGCACACTGGCCAAAAACATGGCAACTCGGTGATGCCATTGTCACAAATTGACATTACAGGATGCAATGATTGTACGCTTATTTCAAGCATTTTCATTTCCGAGATCCCACATACGTCACTGGAGGAAGTACATGCAGCGGTATTGGCGTACTTTGACGATATTCCAACGGCTATGAAACGCCATTTTAATGTCAATACTAAACGTGTCCGACTTAACAGTGTTGACTCGCCCGTAATGTACCGTCGGTCGACATTTCATGGGGCGGGGTTACCTGCAATCGTGAATACTGTGGTTTGCTCCGAGCTGACACCGTCACACGGAATGGTACATATCGATGCGATTCTTGACGACCCACTGCATCCTGTTTGTAGAAATACTTCATCAAAATATGGAATCTGTGGACTGACTCTCACACCTCGTAAAGAAGCTGTGACGGGGCGGACAATGTCGGTGACGTTACGGTGGATGGTTGTATACAATTACAACATCCTGCCGGATGACCCGGCTCTAAAGGACGACTTGGAGATCATCCGCCCTATTCTGAACGGTGATCTGCTTACAGCGACTATATGCGGGTACATTCAAGAGCGACAGCATCAGCAGAGGCCTAGGATTCTGTAAAGAAGAAAATGCAGTGTAATGTTGACGTTGAACGAGCTGTTTAGAAGTCTCTATGTGTCCCAAGTGACGACAGCTGGACATCTTCACAGCTATGTGATGTGCGCGCAATGAACTGGACGGCTCCGCTGCGGAATCTAAAGTTGACAGCTAGATTAGTAGGCATGCGCAAGAGCTACAGATAACAATTATTTCATTATCATATGATGTAACCTAGAGTTTAGGCCAATGATACGGCTGGCTCAGGAGCTTTGTCTTGCACTAATGGCTGAGAGCCCGATTCAGTTGAGCCATGATACACGCCTGTTGCAATTAAATAACTTTAAAATCTACAACTACCTCGATGTCGATTAAATGCTACTGTTAAGATGAAAAGAGCTGCAATAGAGAATACAAAGGACAAAGGCTAAGCTGCAAAGGTCTACCAGTAAAAGTACCTTCAAACAATCAGAGTGAGTAACATTTTCGTGAACTTGGTTACTAATGGTTGTGAAGAAAGCTGAGATCAATACAGCATTGCTATAAAGTCATTATTAAATGCGTGGTATTGTTTCAGTATTCATTAAAGTCTTCATTACTCCTTCATAGTTAATGCATCCGAGAGGAAATAATCGAGAATTATACCAAAACTTGGTCAGCAGCAATTCGCAACTCTGTCTAAAAGGCATGCATAAGCCTTCGGTTTGCTCCTATGAACTGTTGTTGGAATGTCCTTCCGACTTTTGCCGTTGTTTCAGTTGCTGAAGATATGTGCACACTGAAGCAGTGATTAGATCACCATTTAGAATAGGACGGTTCAAGTCTAAGTCCTTCCGTAGTGCCGGGTCATCCGGCAACATCTTGTAGCGGTACAATACTACCCATCGCAGCGTAACAGCCACAATTTTGCCCGTTCGATCTTTTCTTGGTGTCAACGTAAGCCCAGAGATGCCAAATTTCAATTTGCTAGTTTGCGATACTGGATGCAGTGGATCATCGATGACTGCGTCCAGGTGTATCATTCCGTGCGATGGAGTCAGTTCCGAGCACATGATATGTTTTACGGTTGATGGGATCCCACCCCCATCGAGGTCTAGTAGCCAGTAAGCTGCTGGTGCGTCAATGCTGTTAAGTCTCGTGAGCTCTGCATTGACGCCAAAGTGACGTTTCATTATTGTCGAAATCGCGTCATGATATGCTAATGCAGCCGCGTACACATTTTCGAGTGAACTATGCGGGATCTCTGACATAAAAACACTCGACACGAGCGTGTAATCCTTGCAACCAGTGACATCAATTTGAGATATCGGTAGCATTGGTCGGTTTACAGGGCCGTCTTTGTCTTGGAGGGCAAGCACTTTGTTTACTGCCATGGTAGTAAACCGTTTCATCATCGATGGCACCGTTGCGCGCGACCGTTCGTTGTGTACCATAAGTGTTTTGCTACGCTCGACTGTATCGCGTCCAAATTGTGTATTGAAATGCAGCGACTTGAGAATGTCCTGACCACTTGAGTGCAATGGTGCACGAAAGATGGCCGTCTGTAGCGTCGCAAACATTAGTTGCTGCTGTAAGATCATTTCTTGTAATTCCATCTGTGTTGCCTGAATTTGAGCCACTGCACGCTTCTTGTGAGCCGATTGCTTTGCTGTCGCCAATATGCGTGCGTCAGGTAAATGTTTATGCCATTTCGATTGCAGTCCACGAAGCTCCTCTTCCATAGATCCTACTTGCAATCTCAGCAACCGAAGCTCATGAGTAGCGGTAAGCGCCGCTTTGTCGGACATCTGAGGTCTTCCTCGTGGTCTCTTTGTTTCATTAAGTGCAGCACTGATGTCATCATGGATTAAAGAAGATCGAAGCCGTTTCGTAATGGTTTGCGATGTAGAATCGATGTCATCAAATCGAATCGATGAGTCCTTGCTGTCCATGAGCATACACTTAGGGTGAGCGTCGTAAAAGTTTGATTGTCAATGCGAGACTCTTTGGAAATAATGAATTGGCTGCGATCGCGGAGAATGTGCAAATTACAAATCGTAGAATTGCTGGAAGGATAGACCGGCTGGGTGTTAGATGTCGGCTGTTGAGGTTGTGCGTACTCTATGCATCCAGACGTGTGCACGAAAAAATGATCAGAAATGTTAGAGATGTGGTGGATGAATGTGACGTAGGACCCCATCCGCTGGGACGAAGTTTACAAGGTTTCTCGAGACAGGCCTCGTATATCTGGTCCAAACTTTTTTCGACCACACATACCGTCTGTTCAACTTATGTGTACTAGTGATGCCTATCGAAACTGGTAACGATCCTTTTGACGTGACAAATTATTCATCGCTCCTGGTTTACCTACTAGAGTTATTGGATGTTATTATTCTAGTTAGGGTATCGACATCGATCGTCGCTTCTTCCTTGCTGCAGCAAATACCTTTACAAATTCATTATGCTTTCATGACGTGACGAGATCTGATTTTTCATTTCTGATGTGTGGAGGGGTCGGGTGGATTGAGCGGGCAAGTCGGATGGATTGAGCAAGCAAGTCGGGCGATAATCATTTTTTAGGTGTGTAATCGGTATTTACAATGATACGTAGCGCGTCTCATTGTAACTACCGATTACTTCCCATTGTTTGGCTGTTCTTGCGTTCGAATTACAATAAGACGTAGCGCGTCTTATTGTAATTCGAGCGCAAGAACAGCCAAACAATGGAAAGTGAAATGTGCACGAAAATAACTAGGCGCTTTTGGTCCTTATCCAGCGGACTTACTCGAGCGCAACGCTGAGAAGTTGAGGGCTGGAGGTGCCCACGGAACTAAAAGAGGTTAATATGAGATTGAAAGCCGCACCACTAGAGTGCAAGAAAGGTGACGCGTCTTGTATACTTTAACTTAAGAGACATGACTGGTGTGGCGCGGCGCAATTGATGACAGAGCGCATCGTAAGAACTGAAAATAACTCTAGACATCACTGCGGGAGGTTGGTGAGGGATCGCGCATTGTGTGGTGCAAGCATATCCTTGCGCTGTCCGTCTCGTGTCCTATTAAAGTTTTATAATGCAGAGCTTTGAGAAATCGCGTTTACTTGAAACGCAGTGGTGCGTCAAGGACAGCCGTTGCCGCTTGCGCAAATGACCGGGAGCTGACCCACTGGCTTGAGCTTGACCGCATAAAGTTGGGAATGCTCAACTTGGTGACGGGTAACCTCTCCTACTTAGACGCAACTCGAAAGACAGTGCAGGATTCAAGGCAGTGCAGACGGCAGCTACGTGTCGCAGCGTAACACGAAGTGAGATTTGTGGATTGTCGAGGACAACATTCAAACGAATCTTTGGACAGATGCTTGGAAGCTAAGATGAATGTCAGTAAGTGGCAGTGTGTGAAAAGATCTGGCCATCCGTAAAACTAAAGCTAGCATCCGATCCCTGCACAAACTACACCAGATCAAGAGATAAGGTTGTTCGCGTGAAGAAAACTTACTTAGCCATTCGCGGTCATCTTTATAAACGAAATTATCTTGCTGAAGTGAGAATTGTTTCTGGGGTGGGCGCACACTTTAAACAAAACTCATCTCCAAGCTGAAACAGTACATCTTACAAAATCGGGGCGAGCTGCACTTTGTTGAAGCACTATCTCACACGGATTGATGACCTCGTGGGACACGGACAAGCCGTCGGCGTTGCAGCCTCGCTCTCTTAACAAGCGTTTGAGCTAATTTTCGCATGAAGCTTAAAATGCAGCTGACGCCCAGTTGGGACTAGCGTCATAGTGACGCTTCATACGGACGTCATCAGCGAGCTTTAGTATATTGAAAGCTCGCACGTAAGGATACGCTTCTAACGAGACGCTTACCCAATCTTTACATTTTACCAATCAGTAGTTTAATGCCCTAATGTCGCGGACTCTGAAGCTACCCCTACGATCAGAGTTATCGGACAAATGGGTAGCATAGTCCCGAGGTACCGAAAGGTCGGACCTCAACCCTTTGGTCTATAGCTGTAACGGGGTGAGCCCGTTACATAATATTGACACTTATATGAAGAGTCAATAAAAATATTATTATAACTAATAATATTTTGACAATATTACCTTTTCTTATAATATTGTCCCTAGATCTCCTTGAAGTTGGAGATGCCCTCACATTGGTTGATATGGGCCATTATATCAACCAACGCGCTGACCAATGACCGATGGACGCGCGCAATGAGTGGAGGGCAAGTTGTCGACATACATAGTTGTAGTTTAATATACTTAACATAGGTTATAACCGATTAGTTTTATTAGATAATTAACTATATTAAATACAGTTTTTCTTTTTCCTCTCAACTAAGCGTTGTTTAGTTGATAAGCTTCCTCTGCTCACGTGTACGTGAGGTTTTGAGGCACCTGCTTTCACTTTAATCAGTGAAAGTATACTATACTGTAATCAGTATAGTCGGAGGGTGTCCCATTACACCTGGTAGCACTTCGTGGTCCGTTCAGCGACCACCGCACCATCCGCTATGGAATCAGCGGGTGATGAACGTCATCACGCAACGCGTGATGATTTCCGCCATTTGAGTGACCTCGAATGGAACGCGGTTCAGCGTATGGCTGAAACCATCGGCAACCCTGCCGTTGGTGCCATGTTGCTCTCTCTTAGCGGAGACGACCAACATGCAACCATCGCCAAGTTCATACAACATGAACTTGACGAAGTTGTAAAGAAACTCACCTTGCTAGAGAAGCAAGGTTCTCAACAGGTTGACCTGTTGAGAGAACAAGGCGCTCAACAAGCTGACTTGTTGATGCAGCAGGGTGCTCAACAGTCTGAAGTGTTGAGACAACAGCAGGCGAGTGTTGTTGCTGCCGAGTCGACGTATACGCGTCGACCCGAGTACTTGAAGATTGATGTCTCCAAGTACAAGGCAGTCGAAAGCGACTCCTTGTTGAGATGGTTCGTCGAGCTCGACGATGCCATTGAGGCTCGTCGCATCGATGACGATGCGATGAAGGTCAAGTTCGGCATGGCGAACTTGGCAGGACGTGCCAAAGCTTGGGCCTTAGGGCTCAAACTGCACGACCCATACGTTTTCCCAACGTATGACGTCTTCAAGGCGCGGCTCAAACACACTTTTGAACCGCCTTGCGCCGAATTCAGGGCTCGGGCTGAGCTCCTGGATTTGAAGCAGGGTAAGCGTGATATACACGCTTACGCCCAACACGTACGATACCTCGTTAGCTGTATCGTACTGAAACCAATCGATGAACACACGCAGGTTACTGTGTTCATCAAAGGTCTGACAGATGGTCCTGTTAAGACCCACCTGTTCCGCTTGGAACTAGAATCGCTGGATCAAGCGATCTCTGCAGCGGAACAGGAGGACTTTAGCCTACAACAGGCTCACGTCCACTCGGGATCCTATCGTCCACCGAAACGACAGGAGGGCAGAGGTTCAGAACCAATGGACCTCTCCTATGTAGAGAGCGAGCGACCTCGCTCTCCAGGGTACAATCGATTGCAAAAGTGCAATCGCTGTCAGAAGTTGGGCCACTACGCTTATGAGTGTAGTGCCCCACGCCCAGTGTCTCGTAACACTGGGAGTGACGATCGATCGTCTGCCAAGAAGGGCCAGAGACGTGGGTCTCACGTTGCTGCGAAATCGCAACAACGTGGTGGACCATCAAAAAACGGTCGGGGTCAGTAGGGGCGGAGCGCCCTACTGATCCAGCAACGTCAAGAGAGTTCGCGGGACTCTTGACGAAGGTTGCTCCCAACACAAAGTCACTGTGTGTTGCCGCTCCCAGTGATGCGGTATCCCTCATCACATTGAAGATCGAAGTGACAAAGAACATGTCACTTCGCGCCCTAGTTGATTGTGGGGCTTCGAACAACTTTGTTCGACGCCAATCGCTAGATGATCGTAGGCTCAAATATGTTGAGCGCGAGACCCCTCCAACGAGGATGACGGCGCGCCTTGCAACTGGCGCATCCGTAACAGTAAAGAAACGTGTAGTGGGAATTCACTACACGCTTGAAGGCAAAAAGTACGATGATGATTTCATCGTACTTGATCTGGATGACAAACTTGATGTCATGTTAGGATTACCATGGCTCAGAAGGTACGAGCCATGGGTCAGATGGCAGCATCGAACCGTGAAGATGCCTGTCGCTTGTTCATCAGAGACCATCTGATGAACGTCTTGGAGCGTTCACAAGCGCGTGAATGTACTACGAGTGAGTGTGATGGCCTCACTTGTGGTTCGGTCGTTAGTACGACTGCACAAGAACTCAGCGTGACAGACAGTCACGCTGTGGAGCAAGCTGCCGGAAGCTGTGCACAAGCACAGGCAGCGCCGAAGGTTCAACACTCGAATAAGTCGAGTGGACCGGGACATGAATGCTCGCCTAGAGGGCAGCATTCACCGAAGAGTAAACCGGTTGCCCAGAAGCGGCAACACGGTAATCCTAGATCAACTGGAGAGTTGATCGTAGAGGATCTCGCTGTGGTTGCGCCACCACAGCTAGAGGAAGTCGATGGAACAAGTTTTATCGAGCCTGCGGGAATAAGTCCCCAAAAAATAATCACTGAGGGAATAAGTCCCCAGTGCCCTGAGGGAATAAGTCCCCAGGAAGTAACCGAGACGTTGAACGTCTTGGTTCATGACGGATCAAACGTAGGCGCTTATACGCTTGATCTGATCGCGCCTCCGAAGTTAAATTCGGAGATAACTCAGTTGCCTACGCTAGAACCTAAAAGTTTCTTGCGTTATCTGCGTAGTGGCAAAGTCAAGTAGATCTATGTACTCGTCGCAGAGGAAGATTACATGACTGACATTCGGTCAGCAACAGTTTTTGCCGAGAACGAACGGGTTCTCAGCAGCTCATCAAAAGGACGTGAGTGTCCTTGATGAGAAGACTCGGATTGAACGATATACATCGCAATCCTGGGAGTCGC